TATAGGGTGCAATCCATTTGGCAGCTGGACGATTTCGCTGGTGCCAACAAAGCTTGACGTTTGCCACTCAAAAACTAGCGATTCGGACTGGGTTGCGATAGTTCTAAACGGTTCATCCAGAACCAGGAAAATAAGGCGTAATTCCCGAATTTAACGCATGGTGGACCAAGAATGAGGTTACTTTCGCAACCCTCACTTAAAATCCATAGTTTGCAATAATTGAATCTTGCGCCCGCAACCTGTAAACATCAAACCTGTAAAACTTGTGAACCCTGAGCATTCTGTTTCCACCATAGCCTTCTGATTTTACCATACTTCGTTTCCTTACGCGATGGGGGAGAACTGCGCCTCAAAATGACAGACTGGCGCCAGGTGCGGAAAGGAACAACCTTCCGTCTCATTTCGTAGCGCGCTGTGACAAGTTGAACTGTACAGTACATTTCATCAGCAATTTATTCCAGCCTGAACTGTAACCCTTGAACAATAGGCCGAGAAGCATTTCAGAATAGTTTCACAAGCCAATTTGTGTGCTGCAGAACCTTAGGACGTGGTCAAGACCGCCTCTGATCGGCCCGATCAGAGACGATAAATAACTTCCTAGAAGACTCGAAAGCAATTTCAGGCAATCAGGGGCGATCGTTCGATTGCGATTTAATGATCGCCCCACTTGATCAGCCGCCTTGATCACCCAGTCAGTCACAATCTTATCCCAATCAATCACAATCAGTCACGATCACTTGATTGCATGAGATTGGAGATCTTAAAGCTCAAAGCCCAAATTGCAAAGCGCGCGGGGCAAGATTACTAAAGTTGATGAGAGTGGTGTTTTGAGTGTTGTTTGTTTGCGAATTGTGGTTACGAGATGTGCGATGCAATTTGATTGGCCAGCAGTTTTTTGTCGCATTGGAGAGAAGGAAACACCAAGAATATTGAGAGTGCAATTTGGGACTCGAGAAACCAAACCGAGTTGCTCCCTGGGGTTTGCTAAGTCAGCGAAAACCCTGAGGGAGAAGCGCGAAGCTGGGCGAAACTGAACAGCCCAACTTAAAAAAAAATCAACATTCATCTTCTACCACCCAAAGGGCAACCTTAGTAAAATTGATCAATTTGGGCCTTGAGCTTTAACGACGTAACCGTGTCTCGTTAAGCTCGCCAAGCTATCGTGGATGCATATTTTTTTTTGTAGTTAGCGATATTACATGGAAAAAAATAAGTCGCTACTTTTTCGTACTCGCCAAAATATAAACGAAAGGATCCGGAAATGCTGACACGCTTGGTGGGCAGATGCTTTCAAATTTCTAGGAATATCTGTACTGACCGGGCGGTGCGTGCAATGCAATCACAAGCAACCCGATCTGATCCGACCCGATCAGAGCAAGCCGATCAGAGGCGGTCTGTACATCCTTGCATTCGGCTTGTTAATCAGAAGAGAGTGGTAGCAGTGATGCTGCCAGAATTTTTTTGCATGCTCCATTAATATGGACGTCATTAGGTAAATCCACCTAGACTCAAAGAATTTATCTGCTACTGTAGGCATCTGTCAAGTTTCTCTTCTCCCAATCAGGGACAGGTGCGTTCTTGACAGGCAGTGGCAATGGTGGGGTGGACCAAAAAACGACAAACGTATCTTCAGATCTAACGTCCACACGATTTTCAAAACGAAATGACACTGGAGCTCGTCCTTGTCTATTTTGTGAATCAAAACCCGTCCTTGGAAATGCATGCTTCCAAAATTGCTATGTAAGCGGAGCCAGCTGCTGTGGTTGCCACCAGCATTCATGGACTTTTCAGACAAGGTGAGCGCCCCTCACATCCCATCCCATCTCGCCACATCTCGACCGTAGAATGAGTGTTGGTTGGATGCAGAAATGCTAGTGAATGCGTCTTCCTAAAATTTTGCTTCCCCCAGGCTGCCGAACTGAACGCACATCCCACGCAGATTGCGTTGACATCCAGCTGGATCGCCTGCTCTCAAGCATGTCTGCTGATTGTTCAAAGGGAAAGTCTATCCCAGCACCTGGCTTTCAGTTTTTTCTCATATTTAGCCCTATGTTTACTCAAAAAGCACCACTTTCCATTATTTCTCTCACGCGAGGCCCAAAGTATGTTCAAAACTGGTCCTGCGGGGCGAAGTTTTCGACACGTGTCGTTTTGTTACCAGCTGACGCACTTCCACTCTGAACTAACCGTTTGTCAGGGCAATTTTCGCGCCGGAAAAGTTTTTACGGGACAAAAAAACATAAAACCCCTAAAGGACCATTACACATTTTCGGGAGGGAGCAACCCTAAACACGGGACCTGCTAGGTGTTTAGGGTTGATCCCTCCCGCGAATGTGTCCTGGTTCTCTAGGGGTTTTATTTTTTTTGCCCCCGTCCAAATTTTCCATGCGTGGAAGTTCGTCAGATGGTGTAACAAGAGGACACGTGTCGAAAAAATCGCCCCGCAGGACCACTTTTGAACATACTTTGGGCCTCGCGTGAGAGAAATTCTAGAAAGTGGTGCATTGAGAAAGCTTGCTTCTGTCGCAATTGGCATCGTTCTCATTACAATGGGTTCAAGTACAACAGTTCCTAGCAGTTATACTAATATACTATCACATCCAAAATGTCTAAGAACTACTACTCTCATAAGCTGACTAGCCTGGGGAGGGTGGGTGGGAATTGAACTTGAGCGATTGTAAAATGAGAGACGTGGGTGGGGGAAGAATGACCCCAGCCCACATTATATATTCGGAGAAGGCGAATACCGCGCTTCGACGATGCACAAATTGCGTTACAGTCAGCTTCGCTTTCACAATACGCAAATTTGAAAGCGATAAAACGCTTAAAATTTTTTTTTTTATTTTTTGAGTGAACCTAGGGCTGAATATGAGAGAAATCTGAAAGTCAGGAGCGGGGATATACTTTCCCTTGTTCAAACTTTACTTCGAAATTTCAGTTTCATATCTTATGTCCCAATACTTCTGCATACTTCACGGAACAAACTAGGTATAATCTCTCTTAGCAACGCCTTTTATACATTCTAGAAGCACGTAATTACAATCATCAGTAATTTTATTCATGAAATACCAATTGTTGGTTTGGTACCAAAGATGTATAATAGACCTTGTATTATTGAGCAGTTGTGATGTACAGAGTCGCCATATTGCAGGAACTCCCTATCAGCGCACACGGCGCACAAGATGAAAGCACATGGACAAGCACATTGACAGCAATTCCCATGGTGAGGTGAGGTGGAAAGCTACACGCTTTTGCGATCTGCCACGCAAGCCCTGCAGTGTGGATTTCAAACGTGTCCTCCTCCTCCTCGAGCTTCTTGGATAATTGTTTGGCTTCAATGGCCACGTGGCGTAATGGAACTGGCAGTGGAGGAACATATGTGGTCCCGCTGCGGGACAGCTCATGGGCACGGCAGACTTCTCAAATGTTGCTGTGGCTAAATCCCCCACGCGACACCTCAAAACGAGCGGCGGGAAAAGGCCAAAAGTGTGACTCTTGCTGTGCTCTTATCGTGACTGGCCAAATTCGTTGGCTCCTAGGGTTGTCCTTACAAGAGAGCAAACTAGAAGTCCGGAGGTGGGAGAATCCGAACCCAACCAGACCAAATCGACTTCAAACGAAAGCAAACCAACCCGACCACATCATACCATTTTCGGCTGCTATGCCAGTGAGCAGTTCACACAACCTTGGAACCTGTATGGCATCTTGATTCTCTGGGCCAAGCTGTTTGTGTTCAGAAATTGTGTGCTAAGGCCATTCTAGTCTGCTTGCGTTTCGCAGCTGCATTGTTCAAAGCAGTCATCTCTAAGCATTGGCTCGTCTCTTTTGAGTACCGCTCGTGACATTCTAAGGTATAGACTAGTAGTAACGACAGTACAGGCCTATCAAAGGTCAAGTGACACTGGATCGCGAAATAGGACTTCTCACTAGCTACGTCCGTCCATCCTCAGTTGGAACAGCGACCCGCTGAAATAACGAAACCAAGTCGATCTCCTATTAGCCGAAGTCTTCATTAGGACTGAATGGCGTACCATTCCGTGCTCCTAGGAGCGAAGGCTTTTTCGATATCACCCGGAATCACAGCTCGTTGCCAACCGCTTAATAATGAAGCAGCTGTACGAGACTCCTGCTCAGGGCAAGTTCCTGGCTTGCGAATGGTCAAAGGAAGCTCGTTCCTTGGATGCTCTCTTCGTCAGAAGGTCTCATCTGTTTCAGGTATAATGCGCCGAGGTTTTGCTGGCGCTGCTTGAAACAACGCGATCAATGAAACAAAAGTGAATATCTGGGTTGATACTATCCGCTGATAATCGAGTCAATCAACTGAAATGCCGAACGAACCCGACATTGTTTTTTCCCTCGCACCAGGAAGGATGAACGCCGCAGATGGGAGGTGCAGAGCAGCAGCGGATACCAGGCAGGAGACAGCAGCAGAGGATCCGGAAAAGGAGGAACTAAAGAAGTTTGAGAAGGCTCTGCTTGAAAAGAAGTCTAACGAGCTCGCGGATAGAATCGCCAGTGGAGAGTTCACAGTGGCTTCCAGAAGGTAACCACAGAAGTGCTGACTCGTGAGACGACTTAAAGATCGCCTATTCTAGGAGATAACGACAATGCAGTTGACTGACGTTGGTTCTTATAGCAACGGCAATATAGTCATCAACGGGGAGTTAACACTGGCTTCCAGAAAACAACCGACATTTTTGGTGGCTGGTCCATTGGTTCTGAATGTGCTTGCCAAGTTCGCGCAGAAGGATTTTCTGATGCGCCTAAGAAGCATAGTGGGCATGGAGGATAAGAGTGAAGTTGCTGCATCGTTTTTCGTCGTTCTTCTGCCGCTCGGTCAACCATCATCCACGTCTGCCAATGTATGCGTTCCCTGTCGTCGCTTCCTCTCACGATTGCTTCCCATGGCCACCGTACCTTTTCCCACCTGCAGAGTCGATCGGTTCGGCTGGTTGCGTCGATGCTTGGCGAGCTCGGGCCCGGCAGGCCGGCCGGTAGCCATGTTTCTGGCCACCATGGAACGCAGATGGCGGGCTATGGTGAACGCTAGCATGCCGGAGGCTCGCGGAGACATACGCGCTATAATCGGGCAGCCGTTTTTTGTCCCGCTTTTCAGCCTTTACCTTGTCTACGGCGGGGTGTTTCGTCTTTCCTTTGGACCAAAGGTTGGTTCCTTGCCAGTGATCTTGGATATGGTTCCTGTGTTGATGAGGAATCCGTTGTTGTCTGCTGGTTTCGCTAAATACTGCCTGATGACTGCTCCGGTGTGGTCTTTTTCCTGTTTTGCAGAGGTTTGTGATTGTATCGGATCCCGTTGTGGCGAAGCACATTCTGCGGGACAACGCCAAGTCGTACTCCAAGGTGAGCACTGAAAATCATCCCTTTTCATCCACGGTTCAGGGCGTATCTCAGTTTGGGTCATAGGCACTGTTTGGGTCATCCGAGATTCTTGGACGACCAATAGGGCGCATTTCAGCTACATTATTGGAATATCATTGGTCGTCCTATGACCCAAAGTGCTTCTATGACACAAATTGAGCTTCTATGACCCAAACTGAGATGCGCCCTCAATATCTAGTGTTGGCTTTCACACTTGTTACAATCTTCACTTGCCCTGAACCTCACGTATGATTTTACTCTGTACCCCATATAAGTGCGTGTGAAAAAAGAAGGCATTTCAAGGCGTAACAATGCCTCAACAACCGTTTGCTGGGCAACTTTGTGTGCAGCACAGAGATCCTATTTGGATGATTATTTTAAGCCTCTAAAAATCCGGAGCATTCTCGCTCACTGTCAATGGCTCATCATCTATTCTCCGGGACAACTTGTGCGGGGCGCAGGGAATCCTTTTTGAGATCCTCGACTTTGTGATGGACAGGGGCTCATATCTTTTAGGCACCTCATAAAAATACTCATCTATTCTCCGGGGCAACTTGTGCGGGGTGCAGGGAATCCTGTCTGAGATCCTCGACTTCGTGATGGGACAGGGACTCATTCCCGCTGATGGCGAGGTTTGGCTCACTCGACGCCGCACCGTTGCTCCTGCGCTGCACAGAAAGGTAAGAAGACTATACAGGAAGGTAGAAGTAATGTACAGGAACATACTGCCCAGAAAGGTATGAACTTGCACAGAAGCTATAATTAATGCGCAAAAAGTGTGAGCTTTGTCCAGAAAGGTGTGAAACTTGCACAGAAATGTATGAAATGTGCACTGCAAGGAATGGAATCTGCACAAAATGGTACAACACCTGTACGAATTGTTTGCACCGACATGCGCTGTACGCATTCTGGCCGTTTAGTTTGCTTCAAAGCTTGATTAATCCCTCCCCCCTCACTTTCCCCCCTTTTCCGGCCCCGTTTCCCCCTCCGTTTTCTCCTCCCCCCAGTTCGTGAGCGCCATGGTGTTGCTGTTTGGCGAGTGCTCCCAGTGTCTGTGCAACAAGCTGGAGAAAGCAGCAGACAAGGGGCAGGCGGCGGAGATGACATCCCCGCCGCCCCCAACTCCTTACAATCCCTTCCCTCTCCCTTTCCCCCTCCTTTTCCCCCTCCCTCCCCCCTCCCCCCAGTACGTGAGTGCCATGGTGTCGTTGTTCAGTGAGTGCTCCCAACGCCTGTGTGACAAGTTGGAGGGAGCAGCAGACAAGGGGCAGGTGGTGGAGATGGAGTCACTCTTCTCGCGCATGACCCTGGATGTGATCGGCAAGGCCGTGTTCAACTACGAGTTCAACTCTCTCCAGAAAGACACAGGCATTGTGGAGGTGAGGTGCAAGCACGTTGTGGCGAGGGAATCTCTGTTCTCACGCATGAACCTGGATGTAATTGACAAGGCCATGTTCAACCACAAAGTTAATCCGCCTTGAGCCGACCCGCTCTCAAAAGACAGGAGCATTGTGGAGATGAGCTGAATGCACTTGGCCCAGTCCCTGGAACCTGTGTTTTTGAAATTAAGGAAGGCAGAGGAACGTTTTAGTCCCCCCTTGAGCAACGGTTTTGTACTCCTCTCCTCCCTGCCTTTCCCTCCCCTTTTTATGCCCTTCCAGGCGGTGTATGTGACGCTGAGGGAGGCGGAGACGCGCTTGAGTAGTTCCTTTCGCGTTAATCCATTTCCTCTCCCCGCCCCCTTCCCTTGTCCCCATACCCTCTTCCCCCACAACCGTCCTTCTCTCCTTCCAGGCGGTGTACGTGACTCTAAGGGAGGCGGAGGTGCGGAGCACGTCGCTGTTCCCCTACTGGAAGATCCCTCCCCTGCGAGTCGTCATGCCCAGCTGCTGTTTGATGATTCTATTTGCATTTCTTCCCTCCTCCCCCCCTTTATCTCCTTCCAGGCGGTGTACGTTACATTAAGGGAGACAGAGCTGTAGTTTAATTCTTCCTTTCGCACTACTCCCCTCTCTCCCTTTTTTATCTCCTTTCCAGGCGGTGTACGTGACACTAAGGGAGGCGGAGGTGAGAAGCACGTCGCTGTTCCCCTACTGGAAGATCCCTCCCCTGCGAGTCGTCATGCCCAGCCAGCGCAAGGTCTCAGACGCTCTCACGCTCATCAACGGCACCCTCAACGCCCTCATCGCCGAATGCAAGGTGAGTGATTGGGTCTTGGCGCACAGCAGCAGATACTATAAGCCAGTGGCTGCATTGCGTGCTCATGCAAGGTGGTGCGAGTGGTCATGCCCAGCCAGCGCAAGGTGTCAGTCAGACGCTCTCACGCTCATCAACGGCACATTGAACGCCCTCATCGCTGAATGCAAGGTGCGTGTATGGGTCTTTTGCAGAAAGCAGCGGATATAATAAGCCAGTGGTTTCATTCCATGCTCATGCAAGGTGCTGCGAGTGGTCATGCCCAGCCAGCGCAAGGTGTCAGACGCTCTCACACTCATCAACGGCACTCTCCACGCACTCATTGCTGAATGCAAGGCGAGTGGGTGAATGCAAGGCGAGTGGGTGAATGCAAGGCGAGTGTGCGGGCCTTTGCCAAAGCAGCAGACTGAAAAGCAAGCCACTGCCTCCTTTAGGTAACATTGTAAATCTTGGAATCCGAGACTTTTTTAAATGCGGACGCACTTAAAAAGATTTGGTGAGGGGGAGTGGCAGAGGGGAAACAAGCTTCATCCTCCCTACAGCGTATTGTCAATGGTTCTACTGGGTAGCCGTTTCTTTTGAGACGCATTGAACAATAAGGACCACAGCCATGCATGTGTATTCTCATGCCTCCCCTCTCCTCCCTGCTCTCTTCCCATGCATGTGCAGCAAATGGTGGAAGCAGAGGAGGAGGAGTTTTTTGAGGAGTATTTGAACAAGGAGGACCCCAGCATCCTGCATTTCCTGGTTGCTTCCGGGGATGACGTCACGAGCAAGCAGCTGAGGGACGATCTGATGACGATGCTGATTGCAGGGCATGAGACGTCTGCTGCCGTGCTCACGTGGGCGTTTTATCTACTAGCCCAGGTCAGTGTGAGAGGAGTGAATGGACGTAGGGCCAGTGTAGTCAGTGATTGCAAGCAGCTAAGGGACGATCTGATGACGATGCTGATTGCAGGGCATGAGACGTCTGCTGCCGTGCTCACATGGGCGTTTTATCTACTAGCGCAGGTCAGTGTGAGAGGAATGAATGGACGTAGGGCCAGTGTAGTCAGTGATTGCAAGCAGCTGAGGGACGATCTGATGACGATGCTGATTGCAGGGCATGAGACGTCTGCTGCCGTGCTCACATGGGCGTTCTACCTTCTAGCGCAGGTCAGTGTGAGAGGGCGATGTAGAGATAGCGCAGGTCAGTGTGGTTAGTGCAAGCAGCTAAGGCAGCTGTGGGTTGTTGTGGTAACCATGCTGATTGCGGGACATGAGACATCAGCTGCTGTGCTCACATCACATGGGCGTTCTATCTCCTACTGCAGGCCAGTGTGAGAGGGAGATGTAGGGCCCTCGTGGTCAGAGTAAGCAGCTGAGGGCTGTTTTGGTGACCCTATGTTGACTGTGGAAGCTGCAGGCGGAGGTGAATTCAGTTCCCAACCCCTGTCAGCCATCCCTTGAGCAGGACCGGCAGCAGGGCGTTTTTGAGAATTCTCAAAAACACCCTCAGTTCTGGGTGACAGAGCTCCAAGCGGAGGTGGACTCAGTCCTGAACGACAGGCAGCCTATCACCTCCTGATAACCCTCGGCCCCCCATTTTCTCCCGCTCCTCTGTGACCACTGACCACATAACCCTTCAGCCATGACAAATCTTCAAGGGGAGGTGGACTGTGTGTTGGGCGACAGGCAGCCCAGCATTGACGACTTGAAGAAGCTGCGGTTAACCTGCCTCATCTGCACCCTTGTGATCCCATCCTTTTCCCATGCAGAACCCTTCAGCAATGGCGAAGCTGCAGGCAGAAGTTGATGCAGTGCTGGGCGACAGGCAGCCCAGCATTGACGACTTCAAGAAGCTGCGGTTCACCACGAGGGTGATCAACGAGGCCATGCGCCTCTACCCCCAGCCGCCCGTGCTTATTCGACGTGCTCTTGAGGACGATGTGCTGGGAGGATACCCGATCAAAGAGTGAGTTTTTTCTATCATATTGGGTATAAGTCTGGTGTGTTGCTCTGTGACTCACCACGCGGGTGATCAACGAGGCCATGCGCCTCTAACCCCAGCCGCCTGTGCTCATCCGGCGCGCTCTTGAGGATGATGTGCTGGGAGGCTACACCATCATAGAGTGAGTGTTTTTAAATCGGGGCAGTCCCAGGGGCCAAGGCACGGCTCTTTGGGGTAAAGGGAGGATGCGCTCCCCTTTGACTCGCCTCACCACGAGGGTGATCAACGGGGCCATGCGCCTCTACCCCCAGCCGCCCGTGCTCATTGGTCGGGTGCTTGAGGATGATGTGTTGGGGGGATACCCCATCAAAGAGTGAGTCTTGCTACAGATGGCGGTTGATTGCTGCTCTATGGCACCCCACAAGGGTGATCAATGGTACCCCACATGGGCCATCTCTGTATCCGTCTCATCTGATCCAACAGTGAGTCTCACTATAGAGAGCCATCCTCTCTTTTCCTTTCCTTCCCTCTCCCGTTTCCCACTCGCTTCTCTCTCTCACCCCTCCACCAGGGGTCAGGACATATTCATCTCCGTGTGGAATCTCCACCACAGCCCCGAGCTCTGGCAGGACGCAGAGGCCTTCCGGCCCCAGAGGTGGCCGCTTGACGGGCCCGACCCCAACGAGGTCACAGAGAACTTCAGGTGAGGCCGGGAGATTGTCTTGAGACGTCTCAAAACATCTCTTTTATCGCTTGGCGGGCCCGACCCCAACGAGGTCACAGAGAACTTCAGGTGAGGCCGGGAGATTGTCTTGAGACGTCTTAAAACATCTCTTTTATCGCTTGGCGGGCCCGACCCCAACGAGGTCACAGAGAACTTCAGGTGAGGCCGGGAGATTGTCGTTCAGGGGTGCAGCTATGGGTGCTGCTTCAATGTTGTACAGAAGGGAATCCCTGAGGTAGAGCAGTAGAGACGGCCGCAGCGCATATGAGACGTTTTCGCCTCGCTTGAGGTCACTATAACTCATCTTTTCCCCACTGTGGCTGGATCTCTCTCTGCTTTCTTCCTCTCCAACTTCCATTTGCGGTGGTCAGCGCAAGTGTATAGGAGACGTGTTTGCCACGTTTGAGGTCACAACAGCTCACTTCCCCCCCACTGCGGCCGACACCTTTCGTCCTCTCCACTCTCTCTCTCTCTCTCTCTCTCTCTCCATCTTCCCCTTCGTCTCCTGAACCTTCCAGCTACCTTCCTTTCGGCGGTGGTCAGCGCAAGTGCATAGGAGACGTGTTCGCCACGTTTGAAGTCACCACAGCCGTGGCCATGCTGGCCCGTCGGTTCGATTTCAGCCTTGCCCCTGGCGCTGAGGAGGTGAGGCATTGAGAAGGGATTCAAACTAATGAGTGCATGCGAGAGGAGAGAGGCAGGGCAGGTGGCATGAAGGCAGGAAGCCTAGCCCGGCCGTGGCCATCCTGGCCCGCAGCTGCTTGACTTCAGCCTGGCACCAAGCACTGAAGAGGTGAGAGGAGAGAGGATTGAGAAAATATCAGAGTTAATGAGTGCATGTGAGAGGGGAGAGGCGGGTGGCACGGCCGTGGCACGTCGCTTCAAACGCCTCTTCTCTCCCACCAATGGCCTTCTCATGACTGCCTCTTTTGAGGTGCCTTAAAAATGTACACCCCCCCTCTCACTCCTGTTTCCACTGTGTCATGTAACAGGTGGGCATGACAACGGGAGCCACCATCCACACCACCAACGGACTTCTCATGGCTGTCTCCCGCAGAACCCCCCCACCCGCTCAGCCCGTGCCCTCCAATGGTGCTGCTGCTGCTGTTGCTCCTGAAGCTGCCGCTGCTGCTGGCGCTGCTGTTCCCGATGTTCCTGTTGTGGTTGCAGTCAATGCTGACATGCCAGATGGGGCAGTGGCAGCATAAGGTGCATGGTGCTACTGAGAGCACTACGTCAGCCGAAGTGACACTGAAACACAATTTTATGGGGAGGGAACTCAGTTACTGCTCAGAGCAAACACAGTATATATATTATGCTGTAGTGGTTTGCATATTCTTTGCTTGGATGATAACTCAGCAAGCACTTTTCTCTCTCATGCATATATTGCTGTAGTTATGGTAACTGTAGCTGGTGGGTGTTGTATGTACGTTCTTTTGAATTAAAATCAGCTAGTTTTGAATTAGTGGGAAGTCTGAAGTGTAGTTGCAAATACAGCCAATATATGTGACAGTTTTTCGCCGTTTTTCAACAATCGTACGGCTTGTCGTCAGCTAACCAATCACGAGTTGACAGGGGCAATGATGTCATCTCGCGAAACGTTCGAAACCCCTCATTTGTGCACGCACCCCACGTGCACATGTTTCCAAAGTCCTCGTTTCATCTCTATCGCTGTTGCGCTCGGTGCGCAGGTACATTACAGCGAACTTGTGATTGAAACCCATCATCTCCATCGTTTCTCTTGTAAGAGTCAATTTTTCTTTTGCCACGAGCCTATTTTCTGCTAATTGTGACAAAGCCTCGATATACTCAACAACATCACCATAAACAGATGTCAAGAGACACTATTGATTAGGAAACTCTGCAGGATCCGTATGCATACAATGGCTATAGCCTGATTTATGTGTCGGAAAATGTTTACCGTTGCTATGAGCAATCAGTGTACATAAACCCAGCGAATCAACCTCTGCCCTGCACAAGGACCCTTGTGACAGTTCGCCGTTTGCGGGCAGACCCGGAAATGTTGCGACTGCCTCGAAGCCAGACAGCACGACAGCACGCTGGATTTGCGGTTTCCTTCGGTTTCTTCAAACCCTTCCACAGTCCGCCAGCTAGCTGCCAAGCACTCCCTGAGACAGGCGCACCGTACATCCGTCCGTATGCCAAACACATCCCCCGTCAGCTCTGCTCCCTTTCCCCCCCATTCCATACCCTCAAAGGTTCATACCCCCCGACTCACCCCACCCCACCGCTCTCCGCGATTCAACGCGCCTTCCTCGGCGCTGGTTTGCTCGTCCCCCAACCGATCCGCACGGTGGTGAGGCCATGACGGTGAGCCGTCCCTTCCTTTCTTTTCCGCCCCCCACTTGTTCTCCTTCCAGCCAAGCCTTCCACCGCAGCTTCCTCACGCTCGAGTTTTTGTCCTGCCGCCTTCTCTTGGGTTTTCATACAGGCCGTCACAAAAAATTTCGGAGTTATCACGAGCAGTCATATGTTCCGTCAAATCTATCACGGACAGTCACAAAATCCGCCAAATCTATCACGAACCATCACACGGGTATCACCCGCCGTCACTCAAAGGCACTAATTTCTATCACGGGTAGTCACACTCGAAACTTTGCTATCACAGATGAACCCTCTCATCATTTCGTTGACCCGCCCTGAAATTTTTATAGTCCCTAAATCTCTACAGTGTTTCAGGGCGGGTCAACGAAATGATGAGAGGGTTCATCTGTGATAGCAAAGTTTCGAGTGTGACTACCCGTGATAGAAATTAGTGCCTTTGAGTGACGGCGGGTGATACCCGTGTGATGGTTCGTGATAGATTTGGCGGATTTTGTGACTGTCCGTGATAGATTTGGCGGAACATGTGACTGCTCGTGATAACTCCGAAATTTTGTGTGACCGCCCGTATAAAAACCCCCTTCTCTTCCCCTGCCAGTCCGCTGCCGGGGGACAGAAAAAGGAAGGTGCGATTTCTTGCCGCAGCCGTCTGTAACGAAGGAACGACGGGCGGGGGGGAACCGCTTGGCTTGGCCAGGACGGGTGAGCTCCGCTCCGCAGCTTCCCTCCACCGTAGCTCTTCCCAACGCACGGCTCGGAGTCACGGACGAAACCACCCTTCATCCCTCATCGCGCCGTTCAAGCCCCCCCTTCCCCCCTGTTCGCTCGCTCATCACAACCAAAGCGAGGCCTCTGGTCTGGATCTGGTGCTGCTGGCGCGAGGTTGCTGCATGCTCCAGCCAGCCACCCACCGCTAGGGCAGGGCAGCACGGCATGCGTGCTCCAACAGTTACGAAATCATTCCTCCACACGGTTACGTTTCGACATAGGGACAAGAATCACACCAGGTGTGTGAGGAGAGGGCGGAGTTATTTATTAGCCTCCATCCCTGCCGGACTGCTCAGTTGAAGCTTGATTACTTCTTCATCCACAAAGCCAACCCAGCAATTCATCCACTTAGTAAATGCTAGCAGCAGCTTAGTAAGCTCCGCATCTGCATCGTTCCACATTTTTTATATCATGGCTCCGAGAACCTGTTCACGACTCACCTATCGCAGCACAAATTGACGATTTCAGTTTCATCTTCGACCTAATGGACCGAGATCGCGACGGTCGCATTTCCGCAACAGAGCTCGCATCGGTTCTTGAGAGCCTGGGAGAGGAGCGAGTGGAGGAGACAGTTCAAGCCATGATGAGCCAAGCTGACACTGACGGCGACGGCTACGTCGATTTCGACGAGTTCATCCGCGTTAGTAGCCACTCTTCAGCCACGTCGTCTCTTTTCTATGCGTCCCCGAAATCGACATTGTCCGCGTCGCTCGCGTTAGATTGCGAGTCAGCGGCCGAGGCGTTCTGCTGCAGAGGATCCGACGGTCCGTCGATCGACGATCTTGCAGCGGCTTTCGAGCTGTTCGACCGGAATAAGGACGGCTTTATCACAGCGGAGGAGTTAAGCGAAGTGATGGGTGGGATCTGGGAAGATGAGGACATGTCGCTGGAAGAATGCGAGAGAATGATCCGGAGCGTCGATCTTGATGGTGATGGACGGCTGTGCTTCAGCGAGTTTGTGGATATGATGCTAGCGTCAGGGTCGTGGGCGCAAGCCGAGCTGTCGCCATGCCAAACGGAGCAGCGGAACGTAAGGGCGAAGGCAGGAATCGTGTTCTGAGGAGGATCGTACTCCTCGCTGGGTCAACTAACACGACGAGCCTTCATGGCGTTAGATACCAGAAACTAAGCTTAGCTGGAGGTTGCCGATGTGTACATAATTCTTTGTATACAAATTTCTCGCGTTCAATATATTTTTGTGGAGAACGTCCGCTCAGTCTGCTAAGAAACAACAACGTTCCGCTTCCCGCATCAGGACCGCCATATGTCTCCGTTTCATTTGTTTTGACGTCTCAGGCGTCCTCTCTATCCATCCTGCCCTTCGTGCATTGTGGCTACTTGGTAACCCCATCGTCCCCCATAGATGCTGCCCTCATCATAGAGCGCTCTCCCACGACGGCCGGGAGATATCCATTCGGGGGTAGGGGAATAACGTGTTGTGACTACTCCTGATAGGTTCAGGTCCTTTGACCATATTCCCTGCTTGCTCTATGCATGTTTGTAACAGGTCACGACCTTAATATAACCTTAACCTCTTCGTTTTTTGCTCTTGAATATACAACTGGTCACGACCTTAATGCAGAAGAAAATGTTCCTTTTGGCTGATAAACACAAAACCGCACACAACCCATGAAGGCGTAGATGTAACTCGAATGTTCCCGCCTACTTGTTGAGGGGCAGTGCTTCACAGGTCGCATGACGTGGAGGTGACATTCTCGCCACGTCCACCAAAACGAAGGACCAGTCGAAGCAGCGCGATGGCAGCCCCAAGCCCGCCAAAATCTCTAACTAGCCAATGCGAACCCGCCATTACGAGCCCAAACCTAGGAATGTCCACGTCACGTGCCTGGGAAATTCTCCCCAGCAGGACAAACACTCAGCCTTGGGAGCTGTGATAATGTTCAAACTTCGAAGATTCACGATCCTCGCCGCCTTTGTAGCCTCTGTGGCCACATTCGAAACCGCTGGTCAGGTTGATAGACCATCTCCTGAGTAATCGCTTTCTCTGGTTTGTCTTGTTTTTCGTTCCCAAAATTATGACGGAACCAACTAATGCGTCCTAGTTGATGAACCAGAATAACGTCTTTGATCACCTTTCAGGCTTCTTTAGCCGATACTTCGACATTTCCTGGTCTGGCTATGACTCCACCAGCATCAACCCGTATTTGCACTGATGAGAGCTGTTAACATTAGGGTCGCTTGCGGGAGGGGATCTAGATGAGCGTCTCATTTTCTATATTCCAACCGTTAAGGGCTGGGAGAAGAAGCCATGCTGACTTCACCTTCCCAGCCTGGCCACACTGCCCAATGCAGCTCACTGATCAATAACACATCGACGCATTCGCGTCAAACCAGAAGAACGGGGAATGACTCGAGCGACTTCTCAAGAAATAGCTTTAGGAGGATTCGTTCGTCTTCCGGGTGCTTCTCCGGCGCTGCGCTTGGCCTCCCTCCGCTACCTCCCCTGTCGAGAGTGCTTGATAGACTACACGCCTGCAGGATAGGTAGCGATTCCATCATACCACGGTCGTTAAGTAGCAGCGCAAGCACTGCGGGGTTTCTGAACTACCAAAGTAGATCTTTCCGTACCCAGGAACCACATTGCAATAACCCCCCGAATCACCTTAACCAGGGGCTGTATCAGCAACGGGAGAGTAGATCAGACATCAGTAGATCAGTACAATGCCGAGCCGGATCAGGTCCACACAGAAGAGCACGACGACAGTTTCCCTCAACCCCCTCTCACAGCACCGCTCCCAACTCCTCTAATCCCTCCTTGAACCCCTTTGGCATCCAGCATCCGCCTTCTACTCCTTTCAATGGAGGACCAGAGTCTCCCGCTAGGAGACACAGGAGACGGGAGCAATGGCGCACGCGACTAGCCTGGTGGGATAATTGGTTCTCCAGACGGCCTCCCGAACCTCCCACGGGTTGGCCCGGCGTTCCGGACGAGCCTCCTGCGGGTCCACCGGGAGATCCGCGGAGGCGGACTCGGAGATCGGAGGGGGAACCTGGCACGCGGAGAGGCGGAGGCGGAGGGTCAGGCGGAGGGGATCCTGGCACGCGGAGAGGCGGAAGCGGAGGGTTAGGCGGATGGGATACTGGCACGCGGAGAGGCGGAGGCGGTGGGCCAGGCGGAGGGGAATCAGGCACGCGGAGACGCGGAAGCGGGGGCGGAGAAGCAGGGCGAACTGGCAGCAGTAACAGAGGCGGCTTCAGCGGCAGTGGTGGGGGTCCCAGATTTGAAGCTCCAGGGTTTAAGGGATCTGGGTGGGGTGGCACGGGATCAGGCTCGGTTTTTGGAAAGGGGTTCGGGCAAACAGGTCCGGGGATGTCCGGAAGCGGGTCTGGTTCCGGCGACCCCGGCGCGCCGCTGCCACGCTGGCAGCAACGTCAGATAGTAGGCGGCCCGGATGATGACATAGACGCGATGCTGGCCGATCCCGAGCGGTTCGAGCGGTGGCAAACGTCCCGGGAATTACGGGGGATACAATTGGCAGGGGATGATCCTGATGATCGAGAGTGGGAGGATTGGATAGATGACCCGTCAGAGTATGATTACGAGACTGGCGGGTGGTATGAGCCTCAGCCGGATTGGGAGAAAGGCGGGATGCCGCGAGAGGCGCCGGATATCCCAGAGAGAGGCATGAGCCGGTCGTTTAAGGAGCTGCTGTTGAGGATCTTCCAGCCGCAGGACGAGGTGGAGGAGAGCTTGACGTTCGAAGAGAGGGTGTTCCGATACACTTCTCAGACCACGGTGAGTGTTGAGACGTCTAATATGTGGGCTGGTTGAGCTGCTGCTGAGGATGACTTTGAGTCGACTCAAAAGTCATAATGTGGGCTGGTTGAGCTGCTGCTGAGGATCTTCAAGCTGCTCCGAGGGTGAGTACAGTAAGGTGCAGATGGGGTTGCGGAGGGGCCAGAATAAGAGACCCAGGAACGAGGGAGGAAGAACTTAGAGGAATTGTCGAATCAAACAACTCCTTTCGTTGTTGTCCCTTGCCTTTCTTCTTATGTTGTTGTCCTCTCTGTTTCCCACCCATGTGCCTCATCTGGCAGGCGAAGTTTGTCATTTTCCTCATTGCGGTGCCATGGGCGTGTAGCTGGGTGCTGCATGATTACATCCTCACGCCCTTCATGCACCAGTGCGTATCAAATCTTCACAGCAGTATGTATCAAATCCTCACAGCAGAATGTATCAAATCTGCACACCACCAGTGCGCATCGAATCTGTGCTGGATAACTCAATGGCGAAGCTCATAAACGCCTCAGCCACACACAAGCATAACTCAAACTCATTGGCCTCTAAGTAGACTTAAAAAAAGGTCTTATGCATCTCTCAAGTTAAGTTAAGAATCATTTCATGTGCACACCAAGCTAAGGCTCACACAACCGACTAATTCAGCCCACAAACCGGCTGACTGTGAGTTCCCTTCCTCTCTGCGAGTCCACATTCAGTCCTCTCTCCCTCCATCCACCTGTGAAGCAGCTCTCCTCCCATTACCAACAAAAAAAAAAATCCATCCACCAACCCTCTTGCATCTCTCCCCCAGCTACGCGCACACCACCCCTCTGATAGCGCGCATGCTGGACTTAAGGGAGGGGCAGAAGCTCAACATGATTGAGCGCCTCAAGCTCGAGCAGCAGTAGCTTGCGGATTACACCTTACCCTGTGTTCACCTGGAATCAATCTCCTTCAACCCATTCCAACCCATTCTCCCCCAGCTATGCGCACACCACCCCTCTGATAGCGCGCATGCTGGACCTGAGGGAGGGGCAGAAGCTCAACATGATTGAACGCCTGAAGCTGGAGAGGCAGCGCAATGGGTTGTCTGTATTGTGCTACTTGGAATCACCCTCCGACCCATCTCAACCCCCTTCTCTTGCATCTCCCTCCCAGTTATGCACACACCACCCCTCTGATAGCGCGCATGCTAGACTTAAGGGAGGGGCAGAAGCTCAACATGATTGAACGCCTCAAGCTGGAGAGGCAGCGCATTCGATTCGAGGCAGACATTGGGAAAGCCCCTCCCTTATCGGAGGATGGATTGGCAGCTTACTTGCAGGAGGAAGCGTGAGTGGAGGGTGCAGGGTTCGGGGTTTGGACAATTTGGGTTTTGTGCGGGGTTCAAGGCATGTTGTGGGGCAGGTCTGAAGATGGGGCATTCGGTTCGAGGCGGCCATTGGGAAGGCTCCGCCGCTGTCGGAAGATGGGCTTGGCTGGCGGCCTACCTGCAGGAGGAAGCGAGAGTGGTGGGGCCAGGGGCTGGGCTTGGTGTATGGTGAGATGGGCTTGGGAAGATGGGGGCGGACATTGTGAAGGCTCCGCCGCTGTCGGAAGATGGGCTGGGCTGGCGGCCTACCTGCATGGGGAAGCGCGTGAGTAAAGGGAAGTGTCTGAGATGTGGTATCCACTGGGTTTGTGGTGTGGACTGGACTTGACGCTTGGGGCGGACATTGTCCATTGTCCAGTCCAGGGCGGCCAGTCCAGGGCAGTCCTTGTGGTGTGGACTGGACTTGACGCTTGGGGCGGACACTGCGAAGGCGCATTCCTTGTCGGAATAGGGGCTGGCGGCTTGCTGGCAGGAGGAAGCAGGAGTGGTGGGCAGGGTTTGGTGTGTGGGAAGGGTTTGAAGGTAGACCCTGAGCTCTGTTCAACTGTAAACCCTGAACCCCTATGCATGAGATGCAGGAACTTTTGCACTAGAACGAGGTGACGCCCACTTGCATGTTTTCATAGGCAGTGAGGTGGTTCATTTTTGCACCTGCAAGTTTCCATCCCTTGACCTTCAACCCTAAAATTTTGAACCCTGTCAAACCCTGTTCAACCTCATCACAACCATGCTAACCCCCCCAGGCGTGAGATGCGGGAGGAGATTCGGCACGAGAACGAGGCAGCATTCGCATACATCTTCTCAGACACAGTCGGGTGGCTCATCTTTGCGTTCATCCTGTACGCAAATCCGAGCCAAGTGGGCATCATGAAGCTCACTGGCGATCGCATCTTCACAAACATCTCCGACACCGGCAAGGCGTTTGTCATCATCCTCTGCTCCGATATCTTCCTGGGGTGAGCGTGATGGGGGGAAGGGATGGCTGAAGGGGGAGAGGGGAACAGGGGGGATGGGGAGAGGGGGAGTGAGGGACAGGGGTATCTGATTGTGATCATCCTCTGCTTCTTTCTGGCACGGTGGGTGGGGTGGGTCATCGTAGCGTTTATTCTTTACACGAGCCAAAGGCAAGTGGGCATCATGAAACTCACAAGGCACAACGGGTTGATGGCTGATCATTCCGTAGTCCTCCCACGAATCCCCTTCATTCCTCATTGCATTTGGCTCCCCTTACTCCTTATCTCACATAGTTCCCCTTGACTCATGCAGGTACCACTCTGAATCGGGGTGGGAGACGGTGGTGGAGATGTTTCTGGACCACTACGGGCTGGTGGCAGATAAGACTTCGATCTACATCTCCTCAGACCGCTCTGCTATACTTGTGACCACTGCTTATCCCCTTGAATATGCAGGTACCACTCTGAATCAGGGTGGGAGACGGTGGTGGAGATGTTTCTGGACCACTACGGGCTCGTGGCGGATCAGAACTCTATTTACATCTTTGTGGCCATCGTGCCTGTCACCATCGACTCCTTCTTTAAGCTCTGGGTATGACCCGTCGGTTCATTGCATCTGGTCATAGGTTCTTGAATTCATTGAATCTAGCCGTCTACATCTTCATGGCCTTTGTGCCTGTCACCATCGACTCCTTCAAGCTCTGGGTACGATTCATCCGTTTGTCTCCGCTTGTCAAGCACATAGGTTCATTGAATCTAGTCGTATCTAGCTCCGTGTGGCAATTGTGCCCATCACCATCGACTCATTCTTCAAACTCTGGGTAGGGCCCCTGTTTTCTTCAAGTGCACAGGTTCATTTAATATAGTCATATCCATCTTTATGGGGCCATTGTGCCAGTCACCATCGGCTCCTTCTGAAGATATGGGTACACTGCATTCCGCCTTCAGACTCATGCTCCTTCTGCCCCTCCACCCTTCACTCCGTCGTGTTACCTTGCTCATACCTTTTCTTCCCTTGCTTTCCTCCTTACAATCCCAGCCCCAACCCACCAGGTGTTTCAGTACCTCATGCCTCTCTCTTTCTCTGCTGCTCATACCTTTTCTTCTCTTTCTTTCCTCCTCCGATCCCAACCCCAACCCACCAGGTGTTCAAGTATCTTGTGCGTCTCTCTCCCTCTGCTGCTGCCACTTTCCGTGAAATGAAGCGTCACTAGGCCCACTGCTGCTGCTGCTAGCCCTGCCGCTGCTGCCACCTGCTGCTAGTCTTGCTGCTCCTAGCACAAGCTCTGCTGCTGCTCTCACTGCTGCTTCTAGCTTTGCAGCTGTACCCAATGCTGCTCCTGGTTCTGTTGTTGCTCCCACTAGGCCCTGCTGCTGATACCACAACTGCTTCTAGCTTTTCTGCTGCTGCTGCGGCGGCTGCCAACAAGCCTCAGCTTCTGTAGCCTGCTCCGCCGCTATGCTACCTCCACTAGAGCTGTCGCCTTCTGCCCATTTGCATGCCTCATCATGTGCAATCTTTGCTGTACCATTCATTCCTGTAATGGTAGATTTCAAAGCTAACATGCACAGTTCCAAGATGAAAGTTTCATGATGTGAGTTGTGTTTATAGGGGTCCAATTAGGATACTAAGTCCCTGCCTGAATTTTGTTATTTGCCATTTATTTAGTGGCAAGACAGGTTATGTAATCTAACCGAAGTGCATGGTGTTATCAATGGCATCCTTCTCAATACAAGAACGTGAAATATCTCATTACAGTCCAACGCCCTCCAGTCGTTATCCGTCGTGCTGCCCGACCAATCGACCAGAGCCAATCACGTCCGTTCGCGCCGCTTTTGTGCCACACACCCACCTGCTCCCCCCAACTTTCCCCACCAGCAGGACCGCTTTTTCGAGGTTTCTCAACCAAAAGGGCAAGATCGTGAATCCAGTTTGACTGGGTTCACGTACTTGCTTTCGCCTTAGAACCTCTTACAACCTCTCTGACCGCGATAAACCATATTCAACCCTTTTTAACATTTTGTTGACTCGGGTATAGCGACCCATAATCCGTCAGAAACCATTCCCTATGTTATCCATCCCATTTTCTAGTCCGTCATCTTCCTTGTTCCCTGGCACAAGGGGACTGGGAATAGTCTGGCTAGCGTAGGGCGAGGCGTCCTTTGAAACGAGTCTGCTGATGCAGCGGCATGTCTGCTGTCCCCGCGTCTGCTTATGTCGAGGATCGATGTATATCTCGAAACGCGGATGCTGAAGGATTTCATTGTCGCGACGAGCCAGTAGTACTTACATGTGCCTCGATTATTATTATTTTGTTTTAACTTAGCTCCAATAAGCTACGCTCCAGTAGTCCGATGCGTTCCGAGGAAACCACGTCGAGGGATAAGTTTGAGCGATACAGCCACATGCGACAAAGTCAGCACACCGGCACGGAAGCTTCCTCCTCGTGTTAACTTATCGCAGAGTTGCCGTCGGTGTGCGTCTGTGTGCCTTATTTCTGTCTGTCTTTTTAATTTCCTTCTCTTATTGGTTCCCGCGAACCTACTCGTTCCCGTCGTTGTTTCTGGTCGGAATACATTCGTTCTCCGGCATGGCGACGCAAACACACCTCCGCCTGCATCCCCCGCCTCTCCGCCGCTCCGCTCAGCCCATGGCTACGACCACACAGCAAAGCCATGCGAGAACCCGGTGCCTCGCAGCTGCAGCAAGCGAACACTGCAAATTCCCTTCCGTGAAACTCACATCTGGATTACTTCCAAGACCACTCCCCAGACCACCTTCCGCTCCTTTCCGCGGGATGTTCCTCCGGCCGTCCCCTAGAATATCCCCTAAAGTGTCCTGTAGCCTCTCCTCCAGACTCTCCCAAGGTCTTTCCCCCACATTGTCCCCTGCACTTCCGTCCAAACACGCGGCAATGACTGATAATCGCTGTAGCGTTACCGGGTCTTCGTCTGAGTCATCGTTTCAGAACCGCGATCGCTCGAGCGTGGTTCCGTGCGCCTCGAACAACGGTAACATTGCTGGTCCCGCGGCGCGGGAGGTAGATTCTATTCGGGAGGAGATATTGGATTTGATCACATCCATCCAATGGCTGCAGAAGAAGATTAACTCGGACGGCCGTCAGACGGCGAACGGTAACTTTGACGGTGACGGGACGCAGGTGCACACAGTGTACGGGTCGAACCTGCGACCGGCGACGGAGATTCGTGGCCGCATTGAGCGGCTATTGGAGCGAGCCGTGTCGCTTAAAGCCATGGCGGGCCGAAGTTCCTCAAGCTCGCGACGCGTGCCAGTCCAAGTGACTGCCACTCTCAAAGTAAGTCGTCTCTCGCTCGTTGCATGGTATGCATCCTTCAGTCGTCTCTCTCGTTAGTTATAAGGTATGCACCCTTCAGCTGAATGCCGTGACTGGGACGACGCTCCTCAAGCACCGCATTTTGCCCCTCCTGACCCCTTCTCACCCTTTCCACCGAAATCCGTTCCGCCCCTTCTTTCCTCCCAGTCCCTGCAGCGCGAGTACGGCTCGCTGTACAACATTGTGCGTCTCTCCATCCGCACGGACCTCCCAGACATGCCGCCATCCGGTCTCTTTGACGAGCCTGAGGACCCCGCTGCCGGGTCACTCGCAGCACAAGCTGCAGCAGGGGGATTGGAGGAAGGGGTTGAGGCGGCGGGACGACCGTTGGATGCTGCGTTAGCGTACTCATACGATGCCCAGGTGCGGCTGTGTGTGGGGAATGTGCGGGTAGTGAATTTAGTTTTTCAAAGGAAAAAAAAAGCAATATAAGGCGGTTGCCTATCTTTTTGTGCAGAACAAACACAGTCACCACAGTTTCACATTCGCTTAACCTTCACTCCGCTGGTGCATTCACCCTCCTCGCTACCCACCCCTCCCTCAGCCCTACCCCCCCCCCCCCCCCCCCCCCCCCCCCCCAACCCCCCTCCCCTCCCACAACCCCGCTCACTGTGCGTGTCTGCGCTCTCGTAAGAAAGGGACTCTGCTGCTGCGCTGGGCTCGAATGGTGCATTCGCTCCCTTGTTGCCACCCCCACACCCCCACACCCGCCCTACCCTCCCACAACCCCCCTCAATGTGCGTGTCTGCGTTCTCTTGGCAGAGGGACTCTGCTGCTGCGCTAGGCTCAATGCTGGAGATACAACAGAGGGTGCAGCAACAGGTGTGTGAAAGTGTGTGAATGGGTCTAAGTGGGCGCAAGTGGGGATACATGCGTGGTACGTACGTACATGGGTGTATTTCTTTTGTCCTGGTCGCATCCGCGTTTTGAGGCATCATCAGTCGCAAACCCCTTTGTTTCAATGGCCTCCTCTTGCTTCCCTCTACTCCACAGATTTCAGCCATGAGTGCTGCTGGTACCGGGTCCGCCCTTGGACCTCACTCCACCTCCCAAACACAACCAACCGCCTCCAACCCCTCAGCACACTCCTCCCAGCCGGCAATACCATCCTCTACAGCCGCTACAGCTGCAGCGGCGGCGTCTGTAGCAGCAGCAGGGGGTGGCAGCAGCCCTTTTGCGAACCTGTGGAAAAACATGGCCTCTCAGCTCTCGCGGGCGTTTGAGACGCTGCTGCCTCCCCCCTCCGCTGACGATGCTCCCCTGGGAGGGAGCGCTGGGGCTGGGGGGCTAGCAGCAGGAACAGCAGGGGCGGCAGGGGCAGCAGGGGCGACAGGGGCAGCAGGGGCAGCAGGGGCAGCAGGGGCAGCAGGGGCGGTAGGGCTGGTAGGGACAGAAGCAGGGGCCGTAGCAGCAGGGGGAGCGGGGCTGGTTGTGGGTGAGAGTGGTGTGGCAGCAGTGGGAGCAGTGGAGGAGGCGTGGGGGGGGAGCGTGCAGTCTGGCAGCAGCGGCGTCATTGATATCACTGTATGTGCTCCCTCTGCCACTCTCTCTTCCCCTCCCTCTACCCCTCCCTCTGCCTCTTCCTCTGTTGCTCCCTTGTATCTCCCTCACCACCCCACCTCCCCCCCCCCTCCCCCCCCCCTCCCCCTTCTTTTCCACCTTCTCCTCGCTTTTTTGCTTTCTCTCTACATGTTACGCTCGCTTGTCAACATCCCCCACTCTCGCCTTTCTCATTCCCTCTCTCTCCTCTTCACCCCCTTTCTCCCCAATACTCCCCCCCCATCAGCCCCAAGCCCCCCTGGCAGGCGCACAGAGCAGCCTGGTGCGGCTGGCGGGGGAGGTGCGATCTGAGGACGCTCTTATCTCGTCAGTCAACCGAGAAATGGAGGAGGAGAGGCAGCGGCTGCTGGGCAAGGTAGGGCGGCAGGAAGAGGAAGGAGGGGAGTGCAACTTGGGATCTGTTGGAAAAGGGAGGAGTAGGAGAACAAGAGTATGGGAAGGATAGTAAGAAGGGGAGAGATTGGGGTCGAGAGATTGGGGTGGAGAGGAGAGATTGGGGTGGAGAGATTGGGGTGGAGAGGAGAGATTGGGGTGGAGAGATTGGGGTGGAGAGGAGAGATTGGGGTGGAGAGATTGGGGTGGAGAGGAGAGATTGGGGTGGAGAGGAGAGATTGGGGTTGAGAGTCGAAGGAACGAGAGTGCAATCAGGGGCTCTGGAGGTGCAGAAGCGAGTGATGGTGGGGGGAGGCAGGGAATGGGACGATGGTGGGTGCAGCTGCACTTGATGTCAATCAGTAATTCCTTCTCGTGTTCCATTGCTCCCACCCCACCACACCACACCACACCCTACTCCAACCCACCGTGCATGTGCAAAGCGTGGCGCAGGAGGAGCAGCAGCGAGTGTCAGTGGGGGATATGGAGGCCGTGGTGGGGGCAGCAGTGGAGACAATGTTGTGTTCCCTGCGTTCCCCCCTCCCTCGCCCTCAGATTATTCCTCCCCCATTCAGGTGCAATCGGTGGCACAGGAGGAGCAGCAGCGAGTGTCAGTGGGGGATATGGAGGCCGTGGTGGGGGCAGCAGTGGAGTCGATGCAATCAGAGCTGGAGGCACTCATTCTGCTGTTCCCCCTCCCCCACTCCTCCCTCCCTCCCTCCCTACCTTCCTCCCACGTCTTTCCACCTTGCAGGTGCAATCGGTGGCACAGGAGGTGCAGCAGCGAGTGTCAGTGGGGGATATGGAGGCGGTGGTGGGGGCAGCAGTGGAGTCGATGCAATCAGAGCTGCAGGCAGCACAGCAGCGCACTCGCCAGCTCCTCATACAGGTCTGTCTCTCAGCGTAATGTCACACGCATTTGAGTTAGTTCTTTTAGGCGCTTAAGGATTGGCCGGGAGATGTGGTTAAGGCCCCGGCGCGAGGAGTGGGAGAAGAAGCGGTCTTTGATCTGAGGCCCCTCATTAATATGTGTTACTGCTCCTGCCTCTCCCTTATCCTGTGTTCCATGGTTCTGCTGCAGGTGGAGCTGAAGGACCGGGAGATGAGTCTAAGGCGCGAGGAGTGGGAGAAGGAACAGTCGTCTGGTATTGTGATGTCTGATGACGTGATTTGTGTCGTGTTGTTCCTTGTCCCCTGAGTCATGTTGCTGCTGCAGGTAGAGCTGAAGGATCGGGAGATGCGGCTGAGGAGGGAGGAGTGGGAGAAGGAACGGTCTTCCATGGTGGCCTCTCTGCAGCAACTCGTACTCGCTAAAGGCGGATCCGCTACCAGCAGCAGCAGCAACAGCCTTGAGCATGGGGATGGGCATGAAAGAAACGGATCCAGTGGTGGTAACACCAGCAGCAGTGCTCGAAGCAGCAACGGCAGGGCCATTCCCACACACTCATCCTCCTCATCCCCACCCCCGTCACCCTCTCAAAGCAAAGCACAGCGATCGTCAGGATCAGGATCAGCAACAGCCACTGCCACAGCCACTCCTGAACCCGATAGCACCGGAGACTCTATCATGCGTCTCCTTGCCCTTCAGGCGGCAGTTTCTAGGGCTGAAGAAGCTGAGCTGGCAACCGCCGCGCGGCTGGAGCGCGTCGCGGACGTGCTCGGGCGGGAGATCGCCAAGTTGCGGCGCGACAAGCGGGCGCTGGAGTCCCGCGCGCAGCTGCTGACGTGGCGGCTGGAGGCGGTGCATGCCAAGCTGGCAACGGTGTATGGAGAGTTGGTGGGAGTGAGGGAGGCGATGAGCGAGGGGAGGGTGGAGGAGGGTATGGCGATTCTTGAAGGGGTGATCGGGGAGGTGGGGAGGTGGACGAGTAATACTGCTGTGGAGCAGGGCGGACAGGGAGTGGGAGGAGATAGAGAGGGAGGAGGGAGAGGAGGGGGAGTGAGTGGGGAGGAGGGGAGGAGGGAAGGGGAGGTGGTGGCAGGGTGGTGGGACGACTCCCCTCCTGGGGAATGGGCTGAGTTTGGGAAAAGTGAGAATGAATCGGAGAATGGGGGTGGGTCGGATGAGGATAAGAGGAGGGAAGAGAGGAGGAGGAGAGAGGAGCTGATGGCTCTGGTGGGGGTGGATGGGGAGGAGGGGGAGGCGGGAGGGGGCGATGGGCAAGGGGTGATTACAGTGTTTTATGAGACTGGTTGGGAGCAGGCGTTCATTCACCACAACGGCACGCCTTCAGGGTGAGTCGATCTTATTGGTCTATCAATGGGAGGAATTCTGCAGTGGCATGAATGGTCTGAGTCAACCAATACGCGGCATGCTTTAGGTGTTGTATGAGACAGGGTCGGAGCAGGCATTCATTCACCACAATAGTTGGCGTTCAGTGCAGTTCCTGACTGCTATACTGTTGGCAGCCTATGCCTCCATTGCCTCTGCCTCCCTCTGTCTCACTCCTACGCCTCTTCCCTCTCTCTCCCAACAGTTGGACTGCAGTGCCTGGCATGAAGATGAAGGACTCTACTGCCAAGGGGCCTTAGTGAACATCTGCTTCACCTCTTGGTGCCTGCTCCCTCTGCCTCTATCCCTGTGTTCCCCTCCTCTCTCCCGGCAGCTGGACTGCAGTGCCTGGCAAGAAGATGAAGGACTCCACTGCCACAGGGCCGCTGGCTTTGCTACTGCCACTGCCCCTGTTGCCTTGTTGCCCTGTTGGAAAGTCCTCACTTACCGTGCTCACCCTGTCCCCTCCCGCTATCTCCCAACAGTTGGACTGCAGTGCCTGGCAAGAAGATGAAGGACTCCACTGCCAAGGGGCCCGCTGGCTTTCCTCTTAAGGTGCTTTCCTTGTTGCCTTTCACGCCCTGCTGGGGCGGTTTCATGTCTGATATGTCTGCCACTTTACCCACATTCTCCGGTTTCCCCACTTCTTCCCCTTCTCTCCCGGTCCCCTGCTGCCTCTGCTACCTTCCCCTGCTGTGGGGAATGCGTATTGTCTTTCTGTGCCTCTCGTTGCTTCATCTATGTTCTCCCTTGTTCCTTCCGCATCCATCACCTTTCCTCCCCTTTCCTCCCCTGCCTTCCCCTTTCTTCCCCTTACCCTCTCGTCCTGGGGTCTTTTCTCTGTGTCGCCTCTTGCTGCAGGTGTACTCCATAAGAGCATCCTCGCTTGAGTTTGTGACCAACAATGGGGCGGCTACATGGGACAGGTGAGGGAGGCCGAGGAAGAAGGGGGGATGGGGGGGTTGGAGAGGGTGGGAAGAGGGGAGGGCTGCGGAAGAGAGAGGGGGCGAGGGTAAGGGGGGGGGAAGGATTTTGGTTAGGGGTTGGGGGGGAGGGGAAGAGGGGGGGGGGGGGGGGGATGTGAAGGTTTCGGGTTGTAGAGGGGGTGAAGGGGGGAGGAGAGTGTGAAGAGGGGAAAGGAGGGGTTGGAGGGGGGGTAGGGAGGGGAGGGGGAGGACATAGTGGGGAATTTTCCAATGTGGGTACATTGCAAGAACATGGTCGTCTCCTATGCCTTCGACCACACCATCAGTTGAGACTCCTCTGTGCGTGCGTGCTTTGTACAGTTCCCCAAGTGGTGGAAACTACACCATTGATCGTCCAGGTTGCTTCATCCTGTCATCCGGACGTTTAACAGAATTTAAATGAACCATTTTTTTTTGCGGGTTAATATTTATGCACTTGTAGGCCTGTGTTCTATTTGTTTGTGTGTGCCCACTTAATCTGGAAACACAACCTTAGGTATTTTTTTTCTTTTGTGTGGCAGAAGATAATTGTGCCATAACAGAAGACGCGATACAGCCATACAGTCCGAGCGTTCGGAGCGCCAAACGAAACTGTGCAAAAAATGGCGGGAAACCACAATCCCTCGCCTCTGACGCGTTCCACACGCGTCCGAGGCAAGTTGCTTTCAGGAAGAAGAGCAGGCTTGGTCTGTTCCGAGCCTTCAATGTGGTTCGAAACACACCGAGAGGTCTGTTAGGAAGACGCGACTCTGTCATGTGACAGGCTGTGTCGTCGTTGAGAAAACTCTCTGGTTTGGAAATAGTCTCGGCTTGGATCAGCCAAGGAGGACCATGGTTTGCCTCGCTCTCCCCAGGCCAAACTCATTTCTTCCGAACCTGTGTGCCGTCTTTCAGACATTCGGCCAAGCAATCAACGCGTTCATTCACCTAGAATCCATCCATCCATACCTTCGTCTGTCCGTACCTGTCATAGGAGTTCCCATAGGAGTTCCCTGGTGGTAAGTTCCGAGACTTCAGAAGAGATAAGGGAGCAGGTACTGAATCGAAGCCAGATTTGAGAGGTTGTTTTAGGGGATTTCGATAAGCGTGTGTTGTTTCTTTACGGTCGAGGGAGGTACTCTGCATTCTTCAGCGGCCTATCCATAGAAATCAACCGCAACAGCTGCGTAGGGATAATCAGCGGAAACTAACGATAGGACAAAATAGGGTCCTGCGAGCGTTGATTTCTTCAAATCGTACTCCTCAGTGACTGTTCGTCACTACAGGCTTTTTCGCGTGCTAGTGCCGTTTGTGGTCCAATTTTAGGTTTGTAACACGCAGGGAGCTTCTTACGAATTTAAGGGCTCGATCTCATAAGCCTTCGGTCGCTGGCAAGTTTCGATCGTGCTAAAGTATTGTAACTTTCATGGTGCCTCGCAGGCTCGAACTTCGTTTTTTTGTCCTTTTTTTTGTGTGTACTTATGTAATATTTAGCCCCTGTAGCATCTAGAGTCCTTGGGAGGAGTTGGAATATCTACAGTATCCTACTCCGTACTTAATTTCGATATGGCTCGTTCGGAGATTGAGATCGACAGCCTTGTATCTGATTCCAGAGATTTTAGTTCCGCCGGGAATGACCAGAAAGACTCGAACAAACGTCAAGCAGCAGTAGAGTTGCAACAGCAGCAGCAGCAGCAGCAACAGCGACAACATTCAGTTCAAAACCCGAACCAGAACCCGAGCCAGAATCCGAACCAGAATCAGCGGTCGGGAGCGGAGCAGGCAGGCGGCGAAGGAGGGGAGGATGATGAGAGGAGCAAAGAGGACGTGTACACTGCTGCAGCGTACGGCGACCTGGGAAAGCTGAGGCGGTTGGTGGAGGAGGAGGGTCATTCCATCCATGCCACTGATGGCGGCGGATATTCCGCGCTACAGTGGAGCGCGCTTAATAACAAACCCATTATATCGACATACCTGCTCGATGTGAGTGGTTTTATGTGCATGGGATGAACTTCGGCGTGAAATTGCATTGGTATGTGTTTTCGTGTTTATATCCAACACTGAGGTGACTTAAGAAAGGGAACGCCATTCATGTTTGTAATCAGCAACGTACATGTTTCGCTTTGCATCACGCTGAATGGTAACTGATAGGATTCTGGTTTTGAGGTTCTTATGCGCTGAGCAACGATTGCGATAAGTAGCAAGTCGCCTGGTTAAGCTGGCTCACCTCTTTCCTCTCCCCCACCCTCCTCCGTTTACCCTCCATTTAAATCCTTCTACTCGTCCTCTTCACCTCCTCCCTCCACCCCCTCATTCCCTCCCCTCCTTCCCCCCAATACCTTACCCCCCCCTTCACCCCTCCTTCTCCCCCTCCTTCCCCACCCTTCCTTCCCCACCCTCCTTCCCCCCTTCCTCCACTCCCCTCCTTTCTTACTAAATCCTACCTCCACCAAATCCCATGTCCAGAAAGGAGCAGACGTGAATGCAAAGGATAGGTCGGGGCAGACGGCGTTGCACTGGGCGGCAGTCCGAGGTGGCATTGCGGTTGCTGACGTGTTGCTGCAACGTGGCGCTGACGTGGAGATTGCAGATTCACACGGTTACAGGGTAAGCATGAAGCAAAAGAGCCTGGATAGCGTTACAGGGTAACCGTAGGGGCAAGCAGAAAAATGAAACAAAGTCAAATAGCAATAAGATTGTCAAATCTGAGGATTTTATCGGATGCTGTGGCTCTCTGCTGAGTGGCTGAATCAGTACACGCTACCACATTCATCTCCCTTACAGAGTCATCCGTTTGCATCGCAACGCGAGCTGCGCAGTACGCGCAGACAGACCACATTGTGGCTACATGGGGGGACATGGCTGATGTAATTCCACGGCCCCCCTCCCTTTTTTCCCCACCTCACCCTCCCTTTCCCCCCTCCTTGATTCTCTACCCCTCCAGACCACACACGTGGCAGCACAGTACGGGCAGACGTCGTTCCTGTACCACATCATCGCTACATGGCAGGCCTTGCCTGATAGCACTGACAATGACGGCCGCACGCCGCTGCACTGGTGAGGCTTTGAGTGCATAAAACCTCTGGCGAGTTGTTGCGTGTGTACTTTCCTTCTTTCTTTCTTTCTTTCTTTCTTTCTTTCCTTCTTTCTTTCTTTCCTTTTTTTTCGGGAGGGGGGGGGGGGAGGGTGGTGCCTTTGGGTGCCTTTTAAGCCCTTGGGACAGCAATCCGGGGTAATTTATCCTTGCCTTTCCCCTCTAATCCTCCCCTCCCCTGGGCCGCCTACAAGGGCTTTGCAGACCCGATCCGTCTGCTGCTATTCTGTGACGCGTATCTCTCTCACCCAGACAAGGAGGGTTGCACGCCCTGCACTTATCCACCCTCCCCATCTTCCACCCACCTTCCCCCCTTGTATTTCCCCTCTATTCCTCCCACAGGGCGGCCTACAAAGGCTTTGCGGACCCCATCCGTCTGCTGCTCTTCTGTGACGCGTACCTCTCTCGGCCTGACAAGGAGGGGTGCACGCCCCTGCATTGGGCGGCAATCAGAGGGAATCTGGATGCGGTTACGCTATTGGTCCAGGCTGGCAGCAAGGGCGATCTGATTGCCACGGACTCCACTGGGAGCATGCCAGCTCAGCTCGCGAGTGACAAGGGCCACCGCCACGTGGCGCTTTTCCTGGTGAGGTGGATGGTGTGATTTGCTGACGTGGCAGTGTCACGTGGTGCTGTTGTGGTGAGGTGGTTGATGCGATGGGCAGCATGGTTTGGGCGTATGGTTGTTGTCACAAGTGTGGTTGAGTCTCTTGCTGACTGGTGTGTTGTGTTCTTTCTCCTTTTCTGCCTGCCCTCACCTTCCCGGTCTCCCCATGCTCCCTCTTTCTCTGCCCATATCCACCTTCTAGTCCAATGCGCGCAAGGTGTTTGACGCACAGCGCGACACCAAGGGGCTGGCAGGGAAGATGGCGAGATGCTAAGGACTTTTGCCCCTTTTATCCCCTTTTACCCCCTTTTACCTCCTTTTACCCCCTTTTACCTCCTTTTACCTCCTCCCTTCTTACAGTCCAATGCTCGCAAGGTGTTTGACGCCCGGCACGACACCAAGGGGCTGGCAGGCAAGATGGCGAGATACGGCCTGGCACCCGCGCTCTGGGCGGTCATCATTGGGCTGCTCATTGGCTTCACAAACGCTGTCGTTTTCTGTAAGTGCCTCATGCCTGTTGTGCGAAGTGTGAGATACGGCCTGCCTGGCACCGGCGCCTTTTGAGGCACCTCAACATTTTTTTGAGGCGCCTCAAAAGTTTTTTGTAAGTTCCTCATGCCTGTTGTGCGAAGTGTGAGATACGGCCTGGCACCCGCGCTCTGGGCGCCCATCATTGGTTTGGGCTACTCATTGTTTCACAAACGCTGTAGCCTTCTGTGAACGGTGATCTCCAATGCACACGTCATGTGAGTGGCATCCAGTGACCAGCTATGATTTAAATGACTGCACCTCTTCGCGTTCACCCTCCCGCCCAACCAGCCACATGTTCCCTCTCCCTCGTTTGCTTGCTCCTTCTCTTCCTCTATTCAGCCACCACGCTCCCAGCAACCATGGCAGCATGGGCGTGGGCTGTCTTTATCTGTATCTTCCCTTATCTCTCTCTTCTCGTCCCACCCGTCTTCCTCTTCGACCCTTCTCCCACCAATCAGCCACCACGCTCCCAGTGATAACAGCGACCATGGCAGCATGGGCGTGGGCCGTTTTCATCTGTGCTGGCATGGACTACTGAACCACCGTGTCCCTTCGTCTCCCTCTTCTCCTCTACTCCTCCCCTCCTGTCCTGTTCCCTCCGTCCCTCCCCTCTATCCAGCCACCACGCTCCCAGTGATAACAGCGACCATGGCAGCATGGGCGTGGGCCGTTTTCATCTGTGCCGGCACGGGCATGTACTTTCTTTATCGTTCCTCCACGTACGTAAATCCGGGTCTGCTTATACTCCACTCCACAACCATACCTACACCATGTACCCCCCACGTATTCATCTGTGCTGGCACGGGCATGTACTTTCTTTCTTTTCCTCCACGTATGTACCCCCAGCTCTTCCCGTACGTGTACACTCCTTCTATCCTTCTCGCCTCCACTAGTAAAAATATTATTTTTGAGACTTCTCAAAAATAATCTTTTACATATGTACCCCCAGCTCTTCCCTTACGTGTACACCCCTTCTATCCTTCTCGCCTCCACTCAGCCCTCCGACTTCCCTTCTGCCATGCACGCTCTCGTGCTCTCTCGTCCTCCCCTTCACGTCCTCCCCCTTCACTCTCGTGCTCTCTCGTCCTCCCCTTCACGTTTACGCATTCCCCTCGTTCCCCAAAGCTGACAACCTCTCTTGAACTCCCCGTAACCTCTCGTTGCCCCTTGCTACCGCACCTTACCCCATCTGTACCTCTCGTTGCCCCTTGCTACCGCACCTTACCCCATCTGTACCTCTTGTTGTCACGGCTGCACACTCCTCCCAACTCCACTAACCCCTTCCGTGCCCCCCCTACCCCTTGTAACATTTACTTACCCCCATTTCCTCCTTCTAACCTCTTCGTATCCCCTTTTACCGCATCATACTGTGGCTCAGGCAAGATCCAGGCTACGTGCAATCACCACGGCTACTCAGTTCCAAGAAGGAGCAACAAGAGGTACTGTGCTCTTGGGCTTGATGGCTTGATGGGAAACAGGGGCATGATGGGACGGGGGGGGGCTTGGAGGGCCATTTTTCATCTGCATCCAGTTGTCGCGGCAAGATCGAGGCTACGTGCAGTCACCACGGTTACGATGCTCCAAGAAGTAGCAGCATCAAGAGGTACGATGCTCTGTTCACAGCTCTGTTCACATCTTAATCTGTTACCCTTCCCTCCTGCAACCCTCTGCAACCCTCCTGCAACCCTCCTGCAACCCTCCTGCAACCCTCCTGCAACCCCCCGCGTGTCACTGGCAGGAGATGATGCCTCTGGGGATCGACTACATGGATCCGGTGCTGCAGTTGGGCCAATGGTCACAGCTATGCTGTGTCTTGCTCGCATCTTAACCTGTTCACCTTACCCAGTCGCAACCCCCTCCATCCTCACATCACTGCCAGGAGATGGTGCCACTACGGGTCGACTACATGGATCCAGTGCTGCAGTCGGGCCAATGGTCGCAGCTGTGTGTCACCTGCCGGGTATGTGTTGTGCGTTGCCTGGGTGTCGACTTGGTGTTACCAGCGGGGTACGTACTGTGTGTCACCTGCTCATTAAGCTCGATGCTGTACCTTTTAGTCGACTCAAAATATCCTGTCTCTTCAACATGACCCTTTGCATAGCACTTTTTCTGCATCCCCATAGTCCTCTGCACTTGCATTCAACCCCCCTCCCTCCACCGAATTGTGCGGCCTCGACGGTCGAAGCACTGTTCCATCTGCAAAAAAGTGACTGAGGGCTCAAAACCCACTCTCCGTCCCCCCTCAGCTCTCCCTGCTCTCTCCACTCGTTTCTTTCCTCCACCGGATCGTGCGGCCTCGACGGTCGAAGCACTGCTCCATCTGCAGCAAGTGACTGAAGGCTTAAAATTCCCCTCTTGCCTCCCCTCTTGCCTCCCCTCTCGCCTCTCCTTGCTCTCTCCAATTCTTTATTTCCGCCACCAGATTGTATGCCCTCGACGGTCGAAGCACTGCTCCATTTGCAACAAGTCACATGCCCTCCTCTCGCTCTTCTCCCTCCTTTCTTTGCTCTCTCTTGTCATCTCTCCTCCACCAGATTGTGCGGCCTCGACGGTCGAAGCACTGCTCCATTTGCAACAAGTGTGTCACTCAGTTCGACCACCACTGCCCCTGGATCTCCAACTGTGTGGGCAAGGTGAGATGCAGTGCGGGCTGGTAAGGAAGGCAGGCAGCACTGGGGGCAAGGGAGGCAGTTGGACCACCACTGCCCCTGGATCTCCAACTGTGTGGGCAAGGTGAGCGGCAGCGGTGGGGGGATGAGGTGAGGGGCAGTGTGGGGAATTTGAGTGGCAGCACTGTGAACTGCAAGCAACTCTTTGTGAGCTCATAGGTGCTCATAGCAATAGGGGAGGCACTTCTCCCCCCATCTGCATCAAGTTCGACCACTGTTGCCCCTGGATTTCCAACTGTGTGGGCAAGTTGAGCGGCAGTGAGCGCTGGAAGGTAGGCAGTAGTGTGTGAGGGGGGGGGGGGGGGGGGGATAAAGCAGGCCGTTCGATCACCATTGCCCCATATTTGGTATTTGGTATTTGGTATTTGGTGTGAGCGCTGGATTTCCAACTGTGTGGGCAAGTTGAGCGGCAATGGAGGCATGGCACTAATATAGATTGCTTGGCAGCCTCTCAAATGGCATTTTTCCAAAATGATCATGCTTGAACCTTCTCTTCATTCCGTCTGCCCCCTCATTCCCTCCCGACCCTTCATATTTATTCCCATGATCTTTACTGCATGGAAGCGCAACAAGTGGCATTTCCTCGCGATGCTCGTGCTTGAACCGTCTCTTTCCTTCCCTCTTCCCTGTCGCTCCCCTCTTCTCCTCCTCCCTCTCTGCCTCTGCTTCCGGTCAGCGCAACAAGTGGCATTTCCTCATGATGCTCGTGCTGGAACCTTCTCTTTCATTCCGTTCGCTCATTCATTCACGCCCCCTCCCCCTCTTGTTATCTCTACTCCCATAATCTTTACTGCATGTCAGCGCAACAAGTGGCATTTCCTCATCATGCTCGTGCTTGAAATGGCAGCCATGATCATTGCCCTCTCCCTCGCCTTCGGCCGTGAGTGTCTTTCCCGTGGTTTTCTCAAGCAGACCTTTGTTTTATCAATCTTTCTCTTCCTCTCTCGTTCCATCCACTCCACCATGACTTTTGAGGCGCCTCAAAAATTCCCGTGGTTTTCTCAAGCAGACCTTTGTTTTATCAATCTTTCTCTTCCTCTCTCGTTCCATCCACTCCACCATGTTCACCCCCCTCTCCCTCGCCATTTGCCATGAATTAATTTCCCTCTTCCTGTCCCTCTTCCTCTACCTCTCCCTCCCTCTACCTCTCCCTCCCTCTATCTCTCCCTCTACCTCTCCCTCTCCCTCTCCCTCACTATTTTTCTTGGACTGCACAGAAAGTTTTGCTTCTTCTCACCATATTTTCATCTCCCACATTGTTTCCGTCTCCCACATTGTTTCCGTCTCCCACATTGTTCCCGTCTCCCACTGCTCCCTTCCCGGCCTCACCCCCCTCCCCAGGTCTGATGAACCTGGAAGGAGCGCCAGCAGCAGGAGCGGGGTGGCTGGGCTACGTGGCAAATTGGCAATGCATCACATAGGGGCTCGGGAGTTCATCATCTCCCCACCTCCCACCACCCCCTTCTCCGTCTCACCAACATAGGCCTGATGAACCTGGAGGGAGCGCCAGCAGCGGGGGTAGGGTGGTTGGGCTACATGGCAAATTGGCAATGCACCACATAGGGGCTCGGGAGTTCATCATCTCCCCACCTCCCACTACCCCCTTCTCCGTCTCACCAACATAGGCCTGATGAACCTGGAGGGAGCGCCAGCAGCGGGGGTAGGGTGGTTGGGCTACATGGCAAATTGGCAATGCACCACATAGGGGCTCGGGAGTTCATCATCTCCCCACCTCCCACTACCCCCTTCTCCGTCTCACCAACATAGGCCTGATGAACCTGGAGGGAGCGCCAGCAGCGGGGGTAGGGTGGTTGGGCTACATGGCAAATTGGCAATGCACCACATAGGGGCTCGGGAGTTCATCATCTCCCCACCTCCCACTACCCCCTTCCCCATCTCACCAACATAGGCCTGATGAACCTGGAGGGAGCGCCAGCAGCGGGGGTAGGGTGGTTGGGCTACATGGCAAATTGGCAATGCACCACATAGGGGCTCGGGAGTTCATCATCTCCCCACCTCCCACTACCCCCTTCTCCGTCTCACCAACATAGGCCTGATGAACCTGGAGGGAGCGCCAGCAGCGGGGGTAGGGTGGTTGGGCTACATGGCAAATTGGCAATGCACCACATAGGGGCTCGGGAGTTCATCATCTCCCCACCTCCCACTACCCCCTTCCCCATCTCACCAACATAGGCCTGATGAACCTGGAGGGAGCGCCAGCAGCGGGGGTAGGGTGGTTGGGCTACATGGCAAATTGGCAATGCACCACATAGGGGCTCGGGAGTTCATCATCTCCCCACCTCCCACTACCCCCTTCTCCGTCTCACCAACATAGGCCTGATGAACCTGGAGGGAGCGCCAGCAGCGGGGGTAGGGTGGTTGGGCTACATGGCAAATTGGCAATGCACCACATAGGGGCTCGGGAGTTCATCATCTCCCCATCTCCCACTATCCCCTTCCCCATCTCACCAACATAGGCCTGATGAACCTGGAGGGAGCGCCGGCAGCAGGGGCGGGATGGCTGGGCTACATGGCAAATTGGCAATGCACCACATAGGGGCTCGGGAGTTCATCATCTCCCCACCTCCCACTACCCCCTTCCCCATCTCACCAACATAGGCCTGATGAACCTGGAGGGAGCGCCAGCAGCGGGGGTAGGGTGGTTGGGCTACATGGCAAATTGGCAATGCACCACATAGGGGCTCGGGAGTTCATCATCTCCCCATCTCCCACTATCCCCTTCCCCATCTCACCAACATAGGCCTGATGAACCTGGAGGGAGCGCCGGCAGCAGGGGCGGGATGGCTGGGCTACGTGGCAATGCACCACACGGGGGCGCTGGTGTTTATAATAGCGGATGGCTTCATGCTGCTGTCCGTGCTGGGCCTTGTCGTGTCACAGGGCTCTCAGGTGGGTGCTGACGGTCATCATACCACACCACACCGCACCGCACCGCACCGCACCGCACCACACCACACCACACCACACCACACCACAATCCACCACACTTCCAACCCTTCTGCCATCACCCGCTCGCCCCTAACCTTTCGCTGATCTTTCCCCTCCAACTTCATGTCAACAGGTGGCTCTGCACATCAGAACAAATAAAATGGCCACCGCTCATTGATGCTTGTACCTGAGAGGCCCTGACATAAAATTCGTCAGTCCCTTCAATTTTGCCTCATCTCCCCCAACCCACCCTTTTCTACCTCACCCCGTTTGCCCCCCCAACAGGTGGCTCAGAACATAACAACCAATGAGATGGCCAACGCGCATCGCTACGCCTATCTGAGGGGCCCTGACGGCAAGTACTTCAATCCCTTCAACCGCGGGTGCTACCAAAACTGCGTCGATTTCTTGACCACCGGGGAAACCACCGACAGCGAAGGTTCCTGGAAGCCTCCTCCGCCGCCCGGCCCGTCAGGCGCGTTTTTCCGGCGGATTTTTGGGGTTGGGCGGCATGGGGAGAGAGGGGGGAGGTGCTGTGCGCATAACCATGGGCCGGCGGGGGCAGGAGGGGGCGGGCCGGGGAAGGAGTGTGAGGGAGGAGGAGGAATGGGTGGTGGCGGCGATCGTCCGCACTCTCACACTCACTCACACTCGCACTCTCACTCACACTCTCATGGCCAGACCAACTCAAGCTCCTCGCTCTCGTCTCTACTAAGTGTGGTAGCAGCACAAGGGCGAGCAAACCAACACACAGCCATCCCCATTAACACAGCTGGCAGCAGCGGCAATGGCAGTGGTAGCAGGGAGAGCGAGTTAGCTCATCTGCTCGGCAGCACCAGCAACGACAGCAGCAGACCTCTAGGGTTAGGGTTAGGGTTACCTGGATTATCTGGTGCTGCTGCTGCTGCCTCTGGTACATCTGCTGCTGCCACTGCTGCCACTGCTGCTGCTGCTGCTGCTGGTGGTGGTGCTGGAGTGGCACCCTCTAAGTCCCCTGTCTTTATCTCAGCGGAGAGCTCATCTATTTTTGGGAGTACTGCCCCCAGTGGTGCTGGGGTGACTACTGGTATGGCAGGGCATGCGGGGCGCGGGCAGAGAGCATCGGCCGGGCCTGTGGGGCTGGGAGGTATGGGGCTGGGTGCTAGAGTTGCCAGAGTGGCAGCGAGGGAATAGAGCTTTTCTATTTTCAGCAGCGCTGCTCCCAGTGGTGCTGGGGTGACTACTGGTATGGCAGGGCATGCGGGGCGGGGGCAGAGAGCATCGGCCGGGCCTGTGGGGCTGGGATGCATGGGGCTGGGTGCTAGAGTTGTGAGAGTGGCGGCGAGAGAATAGACTCGCCTGAGAAGCAGGGAAAGAGCGGACAGGGAGCATCGGGGGGGCCTGTGGGGCTGGGGGGCATGGGTTTGGGTGCTAGAGTTGCGAGAGTGGTGGCGAGGGAATAGACACGAGGGCGAGTTTTTGGTGTCTTCACAACTGATGCATGGGGCTTAGGGCATGGAGCTGGGCGCTTGTGAGGGGGTTGAGAGGGTTGGGGTTGAGTATGGTTGAGTATGCTTCAGCTTGAGGCTGCTGGCCCCTCTATTATGGTCTGTATGCCTGGTAGGATGTTGCAGATGCTACACTGCAATTATGGTACATGGCATGCAACAGCGGCAGAGGATGCATTTGCTTTATTGTTTTTTATACCACATCAAACCAGTTTGTTACTAATGATCATTAAAGCGCACAATGTTGTGCTTGTTCCTGCTGCCTTAGGGAGCTGCATGCATGTAAGCCACCAGTAGGATAACTTAAATAATGGCTCCCATTTCTGAGCATGCACTGTTGGTACAGATTTCTACTCATATGGCTGGAAAGGGACAGGGCCACTAGTAGCACAGGCAAGCCATCGCTCCCCTGTGTTCCCTGCAGCCACACTCAAGCATCCATCTCCCACAGCGCATCTCATCTACCCTCAGCTGCCAAACCTCAGCTGCAAAACTTCCAGAGCGTTAGTGAGGTGAGGAGACAGGAAAACTCAAACCCAAATGGGGCGAGCTGAAACGCTGCAACACCAGTAGCACCCCTCAGCTTGCTAATTTGAAGGCGTCAATGAAGAGACCATAGGTGAATCCCATCTTGAACACGTTCAGCAGAGCGAGTGGGAACGATGGGCGTAACGTGGAGTAGTATGACCTGGTTACCACCTCCGTGAAAACCAGACAAATCGCTGCTGCTGCCACGTCGTTCACGCTCAGAGCGCCGAATGAGAGGGAGATGGTTTGGGCGACATAGAAACCGCCAAACAATGCGATGCCGCCGAACATGGCTCGGCGCAGCGGCCGGGCGGCAAAGTAACTGTTCACGCGCCGCTGGATTTCGAGCAGGATGTTCAACGGGCTGAGGCGAGGTAAGGAAGATGGTGGGAAGCTTCCAAACCCCTCAAACCCTGAACCCTCGTTTCCGCTCCCGCCTCCCGGCCCGCTTCCCATTCCGCTCCCCCCTCCCCCTCCCGCGCCACCCCCACCCCCGCCTCCTCCCCCGCTTCCTCCGCCGCCTCCTCCCCCTCCCGCTCCGCCTGAGCCCCGCCATCCGCCCCCAGTTCCGCTCCCCCCGCCGTCGTCTGTTTCGTAACCAGTACGATCCCTCGCTCCGCTGCTTCCTTTGCTGCTTCCTTTGCTGCTTCTTCCCCACCATTTGAATCCAGACGTGGCTCGAGTTGACACGTTACTGCTCCGCCCTACGCGTGGTGGTAAACATGGGTTTCGCGGGACTGCTGCTGGCAACGGATATCGAGTCGGACTACAACGAGGAGATTCGGCTGCTGCGGAGGTGTTTCGTAGAGCAGGCGTTCCGTTATAAGCTGATGCGCTGCAATGTGCAGTGCAATGTCTTGTGCAGTGGATGACCGTTCTGCAGGCAGTTTCGACGAAGCTGTTTTGAGTGCAAGTTGCTGCAGATAACGAACAAGTAACCCGCGGGGAATCGCATATGCTACTAGCGCGTATGGTTCGATGAAGCCTGGAATTGTGGATACGCGGTGTCAAAACCTTCAATGTTGACGTCATTTGGCCAGATCAGTACCGACGGCTCACTGGTCAGAGAGTCAGCAACAGTGAATCCTCAAAAGGCAGATGATAAAATGACACGCAGATCGAAATTAATCCTCAAATGGCGGAACCCTTTACAGGACGTCGATATTCAATGAGCGCCAACTCAAAATTGCAGCTTCTGAAAACGGCATACCCGCCCCTGAACGGTCACCGAAACAAATTAGATTCCATCGCTAAACCGTGCGCCTCAAAATTTGCGTCGGAACGCAAATGCAAGCTAATTGCATCAATTATGGCCTGGCAAAACTCGTAGATGACCAGTCTACTATGGCTAGGATGGCTACTATTTGAGACCACAGGTTTGACGAGTGGCATTCTTTGCATGATCTGATCAGTCGACGTTTTCGAGGTTGTGCGACGTGCGACTCACGAGTGCAGCGCTGTGATCTGTCGTAGCGAGCGAGAAACGACTCGTCACTGTTGGCGACACTTTTCGCTGTGAGGATGCTGGTTTCCTCGTTACTTTGACTTCGTGGCAAGAGCCACGTAAGCACATCTTTTGTTCCACGAAGCCTGAAGCGACCTTCATGGGATGGTCGCGATGTCAGCCCCACACGAATCAATATCCGCGATATTGGTGCCCGCGACTAAATCGCAGCAACCTCTAGCTTGTGTTGCTGTAAGTATTTGTTGACACTCGGTACTAAACCTTTAGTATCCATCCAGTTACTGCCAGCATTTCATTCTCATACAGTGTAGGGAACCTTAAGTCACGGCGTAGGATGAGCACTACAGGCTCAAATGACTCCACTTTCACCTGCAATATACTTTTCAAGACTCGTACCGTAACCCGATGATAGATATAACTCCCAGCATGCACATGCTACAGCCGCAGCATATCTAGCGCTGAGAGACTCGAAATGTTCTGGATTGCACCCAACCACCATGAACCTTTTTAGGGTCTCAATTGTGGTTGCAAGTGTCAATGTACTTGTGAAGAGCAGATGCGTCGAGAGCGGGGAATTGGGACGTCACAGACACAACAGCTTCTGCCAGCCGCCTAGTGGCTGCCCTGGACGGCCCCTGTGAGTTTGGATAAGAAGGGTGCACATACCAGTGGATAGGAAACACACAGAGAGGAGCAGACGGGGTGAACTCATGGCATGTGAAAAACATGAACCCTCCCGTAATAATGACCCGGTTTGATTATATCGACGTCATTCCATGCCTCAACCAATGCCTCTTATGTGCTTTCCCTCTTGCCCCCCTTTCTTCGCATCCTGACTCACCTTCACAGTGTAATTTGTGTGCACACCTCAATATTTAGTGGCAAACTTTAGATCTATCTGAAGAAGAGTCTTTGTGATGCGTACCTCAATATTGAGTGGCAGGACAGGGTCGTGGAGAGACAAGCGCAGCAGGAACCATCCACCGAACCCGGACACCCGCACCTGAGACAAAAGACGCCGGTTAAGCGCGGTGCGCAAGAAACAAGTGTTGTGAGCAATTAGCGTAATGCTGATGGACAGAGAAAAAGAAGCAGTGGAAATGACTGGCGGCAGTTGGCGCGAAACCCTGGGACAAGATGCTGCTTTTACTCTTTATCTTCCTCTCATGAACACCCCATGAAATGCATATAGGAGAGTGGTCGTCAATGCTGACATAAATGCCAACAGATGAAACTTCACATAACGGGAAGGATTTGTTGAGACAACCTGAAATGACAAAAAAAGAAGCGAGCATCATTTGTGTAAGGCTCTCACCCCTTCGTAGTTGACAGGCGCCTTGGAGAGCGCAGCATCGCTCTCCACCATGGCTGTGAGAGCCTCTAGAACCTTCTCCCCGTATGCACGGAACCCTCTGCAAGAGAGAGTGCGAGACAGAAAGCATGGGGATGAATCAGGAACTCCACTGTGAAAATAGGGTTTCCTTTTTTGTAGCGTAGAGGTGAAAATAGGGTTTCCTTTTTTAAATAATTTATTTATTTTTCCAGCAGCGCGACATTTTCAAAATACGATGGCGTCTGACTTACATGGATGCCACGTCCGCATGGTCCTGGTTGATTCGCAGCCGGACTTCTGTCGCCTCGTCAGCCTCCTGCAGGTCCTCTATCATGCGAGTCAGCACTGCACTGCCCTTTGCCTCCCCCTTGCCTGCTGCCGATGCAAGTTTCACCAGCAGCTTCACCTGACAGGGGCAGAGCAGGGCAGTGAAGGGACGGATGAGGGGCAAGGGACAGGCCAAACTATGAATGCTTCACCCTTGGTTTCCCTCATCCGCCTCCTCCACTCCTCTATCATGCGCGTCAGCACTGCACTGCCCTTCGCCTCCCCCTTGCCTGCTGCTGATGCGAGCTTCACCAGCAACTTCACCTGATGGTTGGGTGGGAAAGGAGGAGGGAAAGGGTCAGGGAAAGAACCACCACCTATCAATGCATGCCTCATCCGCCTCCTGCAGGTCCTCTACCATGCAACGTGAAATGGAAGTACTTTTTTTAGAAAAGAGGGAAATAGAGCCAGGGATAATAGCAAGGGGAGGCGCAATAGCTGGGTCTCTTTCTTTGAGTCGACTCAAAACAATAGCTGGGTCTCTTTCTTTGAGTCGACTCAAAACTATAGCTGGGTCTCTCATCCACCATACAAAGGCAAGGGGGAAGAGCAAGAGTCATGTGTGCATGCACCATCACAGAACACATACCATAAGGTAAGCGCCATCATCAAGCCATCTGTTCTCGTTGAGAGCCCCATGAGCAACTGCATGTCACACCAACGTAACATGACCCGCACCATCACAGAACACATACCATGAGGTATGCACCATCACAGAACACATACCATGAGGTATGCACCATCACAGAACACATACCATGAGGTATGCACCATCACAGAACACATACCATGAGGTATGCACCATCACAGAACACATACCATGAGGTATGCACCATCACAGAACACATACCATGAGGTATGCACCATCACAGAACACATACCATGAGGTATGCACCATCACAGAACACATACCATGAGGTATGCACCATCACAGAACACATACCATGAGGTATGCACCATCACAGAACACATACCATGAGGTATGCACCATCACAGAACACATACCATGAGGTATGCACCATCACAGAACACATACCATGAGGTATGCACCATCACAGAACACATACCATGAGGTATGCACCATCACAGAACACATACCATGAGGTATGCACCATCACAGAACACATACCATGAGGTATGCACCATCACAGAACACATACCATGAGGTATGCACCATCACAGAACACATACCATGAGGTATGCACCATCACAGAACACATACCATGAGGTAGGCACCATCACAGAACACATACCATGAGGTATGCACCATCACAGAACACATACCATGAGGTATGCACCATCACAGGACACATACCATGAGGTATGCACCATCACAGAACACATACCATGAGGTAGGCACCATCACAGAACACATACCATGAGGTATGCACCATCACAGAACACATACCATGAGGTATGCACCATCACAGAACACATACCATGAGGTATGCACCAACACAGAACACATACCATGAGGTAGGCACCATCACAGAACACATACCATGAGGTATGCACCATCACAGAACACATACCATGAGGTATGCACCATCACAGAACACATACCATGAGGTAGGCACCATCACAGAACACATACCATGAGGTATGCACCATCACAGAACACATACCATGAGGTATGCACCATCACAGAACACATACCATGAGGTATGCACCATCACAGAACACATACCATGAGGTATGCACCATCACAGAACACATACCATGAGGTAGGCACCATCACAGAACACATACCATGAGGTATGCACCATCACAGAACACATACCATGAGGTATGCACCATCACAGAACACATACCATGAGGTATGCACCATCACAGAACACATACCATGAGGTAGGCACCATCACAGAACACATACCATGAGGTATGCACCATCACAGAACACATACCATGAGGTATGCACCATCACAGAACACATACCATGAGGTAGGCACCATCACAGAACACATACCATGAGGTATGCACCATCACAGAACACATACCATGAGGTATGCACCATCACAGAACACATACCATGAGGTAGGCACCATCACAGAACACATACCATGAGGTATGCACCATCACAGAACACATACCATGAGGTATGCACCATCACAGAACACATACCATGAGGTATGCACCATCACAGAACACATACCATGAGGTATGCACCATCACAGAACACATACCATGAGGTATGCACCATCACAGAACACATACCATGAGGTATGCACCATCACAGAACACATACCATGAGGTAGGCACCATCACAGAACACATACCATGAGGTAGGCACCATCATCGAGCCATCTGTTCTTCTTGAGAGCCCCATGGCCGCTGGTCTCCATGGCGAGGTGACACTCCTCCCCCACTGAGTTCTGGCAGGTTAACAGGGAAGAGAGCAAGACAAGACAATGAGCACCCAATGAGACGCCATGTCCCTTTATTCAATCCCCTGCTTTTATCCTGCCCTTCTTGAGAGCCACATGGCCTCTGGTCTCCATGGCAAGGTGACACTCCCCGGCCATCGAGTTCTGCCAGCAAGAAGGAGCAAAGGAGTGTGTACAGCACATGGTATTGACGGCGCATGGCATAGTAGTATGAGACGCGGCATGGCATGGGAGTCTCACCAGTCTGATGCCCTCATCGATCACGTTCTTGTAGTCCCGCTTGAACGTGGTGTGTTGTGGTATGGTGTGGTATGGAGCGGTATGGCATGGTGTGGAGTGGTACGGAATGGCACAGCATGGCATGGGAGTCTCACCAGCCTGATGCCCTCATCAATCACGTTCTTGTAGCCCCGCTTGAACCGCAGGTGCTTGCCGCCTGATGCCATGCCATGCCATGCCATGCCATACCATGCCAGGCCAATGCGATGCCATGCCATGGAGATACATATGGGAGGACATGCAGTGATGGACAGAGGTAGATGCAGGAGTGTTTTGCGGGCATGCAAGGTCAAGTGAAGCAGACAGAAACAGATGCATGAGTGCGAATGTGCGTGCATGTATGTGCGTGTGTCTGCATGTGTGTGTGGACGTGTGTGCACGTGCTCGAATGCGCATGCATGTGTGTGCACGTTTGTGCATGTATTTATGCATGTCTGTGTGCATGCGTGGGTTGGGCTGCTGCCACTGACCGAGCCTAGATTCAATGAATGTGGTCAGCCCGTCAGATGTCACACTGTCCGTGACTATTGTGGTGCCTGGGTGCTGGGGAAGGATGGGACGAGCAGGAAGGGTGGGGCGCGCAGGAAGGGTGGAAAAGGGCGGGAGAAACGGAGAGGGTGAAGGTGAGAGAGGGTGAAACGGAAAGAGAGAAGGTGAGTCAGGTCGTCAGATATCACATAATCCGTGAGTATCATTGGTGCCTGAATGCTGGAGAAGGGTAAGCAGGGAGGTTGGAGAAACAAAGGAAAGGACGTAGAAGAATAGGAACAAAAGAAAAATATTTGTGAGCCCTTGGTGATCCCTTGTGAGAACAACAGACAGCTCAGCAGCACCGGCCAGTCTCCCCTCCTCACAAGCCCATCCCACCTCCTCTCACCCCCTCTCACCAGATTTCATCTTTTCTCAAACCAACTCACCGGCTCTCACCCCATCTCACCTCCTCGAGCACGATCGCCGCAATGAGAGCGATCAGGCGGTTGCGGTTGATCTCCTTGCCGGACGAATCAACGGCGGCAGCCCTGTCCACGTCAGTATCAAAGATGATCCCAAGGTCCGCCTTCTCCCTCAGCACCGCGCCTGTGATCGCCTCCATGGCTGCCTTGTCCTCTGGGTTCGGAATGTGGTTCGGAAACAGGCCTGGAGGATAGGGGTGGTTCGGGAGGGGTGTAGGGTAAGGCTGTGTGCATGCATATATGCATGCATGAGTCAAATGATGATGAACAATTTCCATCATGCCATCAGGACATCATGCCATAACTACCAATGTATTACATGCAACTACATGATCACATACGATCATTTGCATCATACCCCAACATGCCGCACTGCACATACACCATACCATTGGGGTCAAGGAACTGACTGCCAGCAGTATTGGCTCCTAGAGGCTCCAGCACCCCGGCCTGGATAACAATCACACAAGGATGGGGCATGGCACACACACGGATGGGGCATGGCACACACACGGATGGGGCACTTTTGGGCCTGAATCAGAAAGAGAGCAACAGGAACACAATCCTTTGAAGTCGGAACACAATCCTTTGAAGTCGGAACACAATCCTTTGAAGTCGGAACACAATCCTTTGAAGTCGGAACACAATCCTTTGAAGTCGGGCAATTATTTGGAGAACAGACAACGCCTGACCTGTCGGAATTGCAACTACAACTGTCAACTCACAGCGAAGAAGCCCCCTGCTCCGTTACCAGCATCGACAACGATGTGGTAACCCTCCAACGGACGATCTGTAACACATGTCCATATTTCACACACACACACGCACATGCACATGCAGGCACGCACGCACCCACACACACACACACAACACACACACACACACACAACACACACACACACACAGAGGAGAACCACGGTGGGAAACACATCAGCGAGATCCGCACAGCCATGGCTGCCTGCCTCGGACCTCGGATGCCCTGCCTCTATTTCTTTGCCTCGCCTAGATGCCCTGCCTTGGACCTCGGATGCCTTGCAAAACACTCGTCAGCCATACCACTCCAGACCAGACCACATAATACAAATGCACTCCAACGCCTGAATTAACCCCGAAACCCTAAACCGTATGTCCCAAACTATGATATTAGACAATTATGGTAACAATACTCTTTCAAAAATCTTACCTCCAGCCTTAGCCGCCTTCCTGACAGCGTCAACTAGATCTGCAGCGTATCTCTTCATATAGTCCACGTCCACTGTCTGCTTCTCCGCCTTCTCCTGATTGGCCCGCACGGATTCTGCTGACATGGACTCGTAGATCTGGGCGGCAGATGCCAGGATGGCCGCGATATCCGCCTTGTTGGCGCCGCCCTTCGCTGTGAAGAACTTGAGCCCATTGCGGTTGAAGGGGAGGTGGCTGGCTGTGAATGGGGAAAAGGGGAGATGAAGATATGCAGTGCAGGGGAGGAAACATGTAAGCAGGTCTTCAGTGACCGTGCTGCTGAACATGGCTTGCGTGGGCGCCAGGCCGAACCTAACCACCTTCTGAAAACGCGATCTTTTTCATTCAACTTTTCATTGCACCCATTTTGAACCAAACAGCACCACTTTTTGGGTCGACTCGAAAGGTGCACCTGTGATCATGATGCCTCCGTCGTTGGGGCAGTGCAGGCTAGCATCCTCCGTGACTGTGCTGCTGAACATGGCCGGAGTGGACGCCAGGCCGAACCGAACCACCTTCACGCCCTCTCCTGCTAGTCCACGCGCCACTGCTGCCTGCAGGGACGAACAAAGAGGGTGATAGCACCCGTTTTAACCCCCAGAAATTGAACCAGACCGAACCAAACAACCTCCACGGCCTAGCCTGCTTACCCATTCACTGGCAACTGCCCTCACCGTGATCACATCAGCCGACACTCTCGAGTCATGCCCAATGGGCACGCTCAGCTGCCCACAACCTTGCTCCTTCTCACCCGTCTACTGCTTCTACCCCGCCCGAAACGTCTTAACAACTTTCGGTGAATGCACGTTACTTACTGATACTGGCCACTACTCTCACCGTGATCACATCAGCCGACACTCTCGAGTCATGCCCCATCGACACGCTCAGCTGCCCATAACTACCCTTCCCCTTCTCCTTCCCTTGTTGTTTAAACTGGCCATTCCACCCACCGTGATCACATCGGCGGACACTCGCGAGTCATGCCCGATCGACACGCTCAGCTGTCCATCAGTCTTCTCCCCCGCCTGCTCCTTCTTCCCCCTCAAGAACCGAGCGAAGGCCGCGCCGATGGCCTCTGCTGCCGGCTCCGTTAGTGTCACGGGCTCGCCCTCCACCCCCGGAATAGCCACTCCCCTTATGTCACTGCGTGCATACACAATAAGTGGGAACAGCAAGGGTCCGTCAGGGTTACGGGCTCGCTCTCCATTCCCGGAATAGCCACTCCCCTTATGTCACTGCGTTCACAGTCAGGGCGACGGGATTGGTTGAGTCTGATCTGAACCCCTCATCCCTGACCGGTCCGGCGTTTGCTCTACAGTGCAACACTGTGTTAAGGGTTAGCTAAACTGAGGTTGGCCTTCTAAAATGCTATGCAAATCCTTCCCCATCTCTTCCACCTTATTTTGCGTTCTGAAGCAGCAATCGTACCTTCCGTTTTGGAGCTTCTTGAAGTCGATCGCCTGGAAGAGGGTCGGCTGGCTCTCGACCGCTGTTGCTGCGACAAGGCCAGAGCATCAGAACACACGCATGCATGCAGACCATTCAGCAGTGCAGATTCAGCGCATCGGACACACGCAAGAAAACCAGTCGGCAGAGCAGATTCAGAGCATGCAATAGATTCCGCACACAGAACCAGCCACACGCCAAGCAAAAAAAGAAAACGAGAGCAGAAGGGGAAAAGCGAGAAGAGTGAGGAAAGGAGAACGGAAAAGGTTTCTGGTTGACGGACTGACCAAACGAGATTTGAGACGGATTGGCAGACGACGCTTCCACGACAGTGAGCCGCTGGCTGCGATTGGTGCAGCTTGACAGATGGCGCGGTGAGTGACTGTAACGAGAGGTGAGTGCTTGTATGGCATTTGCGGATAACGCGGGCTTCAAGCTCGGAAAAAGCCTCGCAGCTGGATTGCTGCTGCAGAGGCTGGAAGTCAGCATCGCTGCAGTACACGGGAAACATTACAAACACGGACGCAAGATCACACGAATCTATTCAATCTCCCGACAAAAAATCCTAATGCTCGTGCTCGTGGTCGCGACTCTCAGAAAGAAAAGGAATTGGAACATGTATCTCACCAGCCATTTTAATGGTATCTAGCGGAAAAGGCAGGTGCGCCGTATGCAGGAGCAAGCACTGCGTCCGTCCGAATTCTCGCACGAGAGAAACGAAACGACAACTGCAAACAAGCCACGGCTTTATGTTCCAAATCCCGAGAGAAGAGGAAATGCTATGTCTTCACAAGAGAATGAAACAAGCAGGAGACCAGCAAGAAAATTCTGAAAAAACAGTAGATGCTGTTCCTTCAAATGCTGCAGCTGTAAGGCGGAGTTCCCTAGGGACACCAACAGGCAATTGGAGCTCCCAAGGCTGGATTCAAGCCGAAGAGCCAATTTTGAATTGCCATCCCAAGTTCCCCCCAACCTGACAACCAAAGTCGAAATATCCTGTTGGTCGGCCTTTCCCTGCGAGAAAGGTGGGACAACCAGCCATGACATACCTGTCGTCTGCCCCATCTGAAGTCTAGAAGGCCCACATGGCACGAGGTGATTCACGACGACCCAGCTTTCGGCTGCAAGATTCGAGGCTGCTGACGTGGAAAGCCGGTCGGCAAAGGTCACAAGGACGTTTAGGTAACGGAGCCGACAACTTTCAGAGTCGTTTACTGTATCTTTAGCTAGTTCGCGGAATCACCTTTTGCTGACCACGAAAGCCACTGATATATGTTACGATAGCAGTGCGCCACTCAAGAACCGAAAATTATGTACACATACCTATATATTGAAAAGCAACTTTTCAAACCAGTGTCCATCTCCACACTAATTTGGTGTTGATGTTATAGGTTGAACAAATCAAAATTGTTCTCTGTACAAACACGCAAAGCACACATGTGTTTTGATTTTCTCTACATTAGTATGCAATCCACTAAAACCTAAGGTGGTTTGCACAGCGACGTCCCTTTGTAGAGCCGGCTGTTTGTGCAGACATATCCGCTGTTATATTGTGCAAGCAAGCGTGATGACGACTTGAAGTAGAGTGCGATGATGCGAGCACAAGTATCGCCGGTGACAACGGTATAATACGACTTCGTAACACACTTCGAAGCGCCCAGCAGAACACTCGATTGACCACCACGAGTACAGATCTGATGGGTGGAAGGAAATGCAGGAGAAGCAGAGAGGGACGGGCCCACACAGGGAAGGAAGATGAGGAAGAAGAAGGGGAGAGCAACAAATGATAACTAACAAGAACATCTGAAATGACGTCATGAACAGGACACGGAAGGTACACTTTTAACCGTTCCATATCCACAAAATTACCTGCTGATTCATGTACACTTACACCAACTTGCTTTTGTATACACCTACGCCTACTCGACACCCACCTGTTGACATAGAGCAACTCCCCACCCACCTGCTGCCCCAGCAGACTCTGCTTCCCCACGTTGCAGCTGATGCCTGGATTCAGCGCATAGAACTCCTGGCTGGTCAGGGCCTACCGCCTACCTGCTAATCCCACTACCCACCTGCCTGCTGACATTTGAGTATGCCCACCTGTTGGCATATAGTGTATAGTGTTCCGTAGACCCACCTGCTGGCCCAGCAGAATCTGGTCCCCCACGTTGCAGTTGATGCCCGGATTCAGCGCATAGAACTCCTGGCTGGTCAGGGGCGGCCGCGCGGATCTCATTATAGTGTCACACGTGTCCCCCTCCGCTACAGTCACATACTCCTGACAGACAGGCAGGTCGGCTGTGCCCCTCACCACACACACCTGGCACGGGGAGTTACAGAGGGATGGAAAAAAAGGGCAGAGAAAGCGTTGAATTGTACCATGCTGCAGTGCAGTCGCACAGTCCTGACACACACAGGCAGGTCAGCTGTGCGGCTGTGCCCCTCACCCCCCTCGCCCCATACACCTGTGAAATAAAATATCAGGTTGAAAACAGGAAATTTTAGGCGCCTCAAAAATCGGCTGTGCCCCTCGCCCCATACACCTGTGAGATAGTATCTCAGGTGTTAGCGCATGTAAATCTGGTTTTTGAGAATTCTCAAAAACCGGCTGTGCGGCTGTGCCCCCCGCCCCATACACCTGTGAAATAGTATCTCAGGTGTTTCTTACAGAGCCAGCTTGAAAAAAGGATCGCATGCAATTCGTTGGACGCATGTGCATTGGAAAGGAAGAGTGGGGAGCGGGGAGAGGGGGGGGGGGGTGGAGGGGGGGGGAGGGGGAAGAGCAGAAAGCAGACAAGAAGCGACAGATAACACAAGTGACAGGAACTGCCATAGTAACACAAGTTATGCAAGTGGCTCACCTGCTGCCCAATCTGTAGTGGCTTGTTGCATTGGAGCTCGTGATTCCTCTCTTTCAGTTGCTCCAGTGTGGTGCTGAAGGCGCTACTCAGAACCCCAGTTCAGGAACATAGATGCAAGTGCCGTACCTGCTGCTCAATCTGTAGTGGCTTGCTGCATTTGAGCTCGTGACTCCTCTCTTTCAGCTGCTCCAGTGTGGTGCCGAAGGCGCTACTCAGAACCCCAGTTCAGGAACATAGATGCAAGTGCCGTACCTGCTGCCCAATCTGTAGTGGCTTGCTGCATTTAAGCTCGTGATTCCTCTCTTTCAGCTGCTCCAGTGTGACGTTAAACGCTGTTGCTATGGATGCACACGTATCGCTCTGTTGTAAGCAGGGTAATTGGAGGATAAGGAAGGCAGAGAGGAATGGAATGCAGTACCGGGGTGAAGAGGAGGGGGCAAGAGGCATGCAAGGATGCGATGGCATTGAGTTGAGCTTGTGTGGATATGATCACTAAGCTGATCCGTGGGTGCGCTGTTGCTATGGATGCACATGCACAATAAAAAAATGAATTTATAAACAAATGAACGAACGAACGAATGAGCAAGTAAATAAATAAATAAATAGATAGATAAATAAATAAGTAAATAAGTAAATAAATAAATAAATAAATGAATAAATAAACAAATGAACAAATAAATGAATGGATAAAATAACAAGAAGCTTACAGATGATGCGACAGTGTAGGATGTAGCACACGGGTTGGTGTCACCAATGTGGATTTCCTCTCCCAGCTGCAACCGGTTGCAGTTTAAGTCCTGTCCCAGTGGGGGAAGCGTGGAAGGGGGGAAAGGTGTTGAGGGGGTGAGACTGTGAGTCATGAGATGTGTTGGTTGGTTGGTGCCGCTGATGTAAACTTTTGAGGCGCCTCAAAAGAGAGGGTGAGACTGTGAGACATGGGCTGGGTTGGCGCCGCTGATGTGGATTTCCTCTGGCAGCTGGTTGCAGTCCAGTTTCTGCCCCACGGGAGGATGGGTGAAGAGTGGGGGGTTTGAGGGGTGGGCGGGGTGGTAGAGGGGGAAAGAGGAAAGGGAAGGGAGAGGGAGAGGAAGGGGGGATTAATGAGGAAAAAAGGCTGATGGGGACTTTTTCTCCAAGATTCAGCCGGTTGCTTGCAGTTCAATTTCTGTTCAAGGGGGGATGGGGACGGGGATGGGGAATGGGGGAAGGAGGGGGAGGGGAAGGGGGAGAGGGGGGGGTGGGGGAGGCTGATGTGGATTTCCTCTCCCAACGGCAGCCGGTTGCAGCTCACGTTCTGTCGCAAGGGGGGATGGGTGAAAGAGTGGAAGGGTAGAAAGGGGGAGAAGTAGGGGCGGAGGAGAGTGATTTTTTGAGTCGACTCAAAAATCAACTCATCAGAGGTGGAGGAGAGAGACTGGATACAAAGGACGTGGCACATGGGGACAACCAATATAGGGCATGGGTCGGGTCGTGGCACACAGGGTGGTGTCGCCAATGTGGATTTCAGTGGGTTGAGAAGGGTACGAACAAGACACCCTTATCGGGATGAGCTGGGTGAAGCTGGTGGAGTTGAAGGCATAGGTTGACATGACCAGGTCGCATGTGAGCTGACTAAAGAATGGGAGCACGGGAGGGGGTGAAGAGCGGTCTTACAGGGTTGAGCTGGGTGAAGCTGGTGAGGTTGATGCCATAGGTGGACATGACCAGGTCGCATGTAAGCCCCCGCACAACCTCAATTTCACCCGGCGTGGGTCCTGGGAAACGAGAAGCATGGGGAGGAAGGACGAGGTGTGGGAAGAATGGGAGGAGGAAAGGGGGGGGGAGAGGGAAAGAGGGCAAGGAAAGAGGGGGGAGAGGTTGATGCCATAGGTGGACATGACCAGGTCGCATGTGAGTCCCCACACAACCTCTATTTCACCAGGCGTGGGTCCTGGGATACGAGAAGCATGGGGAGGAAGGACGAGGTGTGGGAAGAATGGGAGGAGGAAAGGGGGGGGGGGGGAAGAGGGAAAGAGGGCAGGGAAAGAGGGAAAGAGGGCAGGGAAAGAGGGGGGAGAGGTTAATGCTGTAGGTAGACATGACCAGGTCGCATGTGAGCCCCCGCACAACCTCGATTTCATCAGGTGTGGGTCCTGGGATAAAAGAGGTATGGGGAGCATGGGAGGTGGTGGGGGGGGGGGAGGGGAAAGAGGGCCGGGTGATGCCATAGGTTGGCATCACAAGACCGCATGTGAGCCAGGTCACTGCACAACCTCGATTTCACCGGGCGTGGGTCCTGGGATAGGAGAAGCATGGGGAGCATGGGAGGTGGTGGGGGGAGGGGAGGGGAAAGAGGGCCGGGTGATGCCATAGGTTGACATGGCACAACCTCGATTTTACCAGGCGTGGGTCCTGGGTTTGAGGTGGACGGATGGAGAGAGTGGGGAGGGGAGAACAGGGCAGAGCGACGCCACAGTTAAAGGTCAGCACATTGAAGGGAAGGCACACCCACCGAGGATGCAGGAGGGTGTGTTGTCGGGCCTGGTATCAAATAAGAACCCCGGCCGGCGGGCAGATGCAGTTGCCTCAGCAGGTGCCATAAACCCCACAGTAGCTAGCACAGCGGGACCAGATTAGCAGCATATGAAGGGAAGGCAAACCCACCGAGGATGCAGGAGGGTGTGTTGTCGGGCCTGGTATCAAAGAAAAAGCCTGGCGGGCAGATGCAGTTGTAGCCGCCTTACCAGGTCCGCAGCACAGCAGGAGCAGAACCACTATACCAGCACAGCAGGAGCAGAACCACTATACCAGCACAGCAGGACCAGAACCACTATACCAGCACAGCAGGAGCAGAACCACTATACCAGCACAGCAGGAGCAGAACCACTATACCAGCACAGCAGGAGCAGAACCACTATACCAGCACAGCAGGAGCAGAACCACTATACCAGCACAGCAGGAGCAGAACCACTATACCAGCACAGCAGGAGCAGAACCACTATACCAGCACAGCAGGAGCAGAACCACTATACCAGCACAGCAGGACCAGAACCACTATACCAGCACAGCAGGACCAGAACCACTATACCAGCACAGCAGGAGCAGAACCACTATACCAGCACAGCAGGAGCAGAACCACTATACCAGCACAGCAGGAGCAGAACCACTATACCAGCACAGCAGGAGCAGAACCACTATACCAGCACAGCAGGAGCAGAACCACTATACCAGCACAGCAGGAGCAGAACCACTATACCAGCACAGCAGGAGCAGAACCACTATACCAGCACAGCAGGAGCAGAACCACTATACCAGCACAGCAGGAGCAGAACCACTATACCAGCACAGCAGGAGCAGAACCACTATACCAGCACAGCAGGAGCAGAACCACTATACCAGCACAGCAGGAGCAGAACCACTATACCAGCACAGCAGGAGCAGAACCACTATACCAGCACAGCAGGAGCAGAACCACTATACCAGCACAGCAGGAGCAGAACCACTATACCAGCACAGCAGGACCAGAACCACTATACCAGCACAGCAGGAGCAGAACCACTATACCAGCACAGCAGGAGCAGAACCACTATACCAGCACAGCAGGAGCAGAACCACTATACCAGCACAGCAGGAGCAGAACCACTATACCAGCACAGCAGGAGCAGAACCACTATACCAGCACAGCAGGAGCAGAACCACTATACCAGCACAGCAGCAGGGTAAGCGCAGCATATGAAGGGAAGGCACACCCACCGAGGATGCAGGAGGGCGAGTTGTCGGGCCTGGTATCAAAGTTGAACCCCGGCGGGCAGATGCAGTTGCCTCAGCACCAGGAGCGGCAATGCAATTGCAAGGAGTGTGAAGGGGATTCGTGAGAGGGATTCGTGAGGGGGACTCGGGAGGGGGACTCGGGAGGGTCAGGCAAACCCACCGAGGATGCAGGAGGGAGTGTTGTCGGGCTTGGTATCAAAGAAGAACCCCGGCGGGCAGATGCAGTTGTAGCCCCCTCTGGCATCGTCCAGACACGTGCCCACCTGGCAGGGGTTGACTGCGTTCAGAGAACATGGCTTCACTGGTGGGGGGGAGAGGGGAAGGGAGTGAGGGAGGGACAGGAGGGACAGGAGGGACAGGAGGGACAGGAGGGACAGGAGGGAGAGGAGGAAAGCAAGGGAGTGGGGAGACATATTGGACTTAACACGTGCCCACCTGGCTGGCAGGGGTTGACCACGTTCAGTAAGCATGGCTTCACTGGTGTGGTGGTGGGGGGGAGGGGGGAAGGGAGGGACACGGGGAAGGGAGGGACACGGGGAAGGGAGGGACACGGGGAAGGGAGGGACACGGGGAAGGGAGGGACACGGGGAAGGTAGGGACACGGGGAAGGTAGGGACACGGGGAAGGTAGGGACACGGGGAAGGGAGGGACACGGGGAAGGGAGGGACACGGGGAAGGGAGGGACACGGGGAAGGGAGGGACACGGGGAAGGGAGGGACACGGGGAAGGGAGGGACACGGGGAAGGGAGGGACACGGGGAAGGGAGGGACACGGGGAAGGGAGGGGAGTGAGGGAGGGAAGGGAGGGGATGCATTTGTAGCCCCCTCTGCCATCGTCCAGACACGTGCCCAGCTGGCATGGGTTGACCGCATTCAGAGAACATGGCTTCAGTGGAAGTGAGGGGGCAGGAGGGCTTTTGAGGCGCCTCAAAAGTGAGGGGGCAGGAGGGCAGGGAAGGGGAAGGGGGATGGATGGAGGGGGGAACGGGGGGAGGAGATGCAGTTTTAGAGGAGGCGTGTGATGCTTCAATACTCCTCCGCACCCCCTCACACACCCACACACCCACGCCCCCACCCACCCCCAAAACCACCCATGCCATGCCCCCACCAACTCTCCAAACCAATCTTCTCTCCTCCTCCCCCGTCCCACACCCACCCACCATCCACCCACCCACCATCCACCCGCCCACCCACCCACCCACCCACCCACCCACCCACCCACCCACCCAACCCCCGCCCGCCCGCCCGCCCGCCCGCCCGCCCGCCCGCCCACCCACCCACCCACTCACCCACCCACCCAGTGATACATACGTGGGATGCAAGCAGGCGATTGGTCGATGTTCCTCCCAATCACAAAATTCGTCTTGCACTTGCACGTGTACCCCCCGGTCCCCTGCTGGCACTGCACGTGCCGCCTCCACATGGGTTCGGCACACACGGGTTGGGGCCGCGGACTACCGGGTAAAGAGCTGGTGATGTGTTGATGCCGCAGATGCCGTCACCTGGAGGAGATAGCAAGGGGTGAAAAGGGGTGGAGTGGGGAAAGTGGAAAAGTGCTGGGCAAAACTTCATTATGGGTTCGGCACAGCACACAGGGGTTGGGGACTCGCACCACAGGGTAGAGGGTAGGAGATGTGTTGATACCGCAGATGCCATCTCCTGTAGGTGGTGGAAGAGGGGTGGAGAAGGGTGGAGAGGGGTAGAGAGGGGGTACAGATGACGGGTTCGGCACACGCGGGTTGGGACCCTGGACTACCGGGTAAAGAGCTGGTGATGTGTTGATGCCGCAGATGCCGTCACCTGGAGGAGATAGCAAGGGGGTGGAGAGGGGTGGAGAGGGGAAAGTGGAAAAATGCTGTGCAAAACTTGATAATGGTTTCGGCACAGCACACAGGGGTTGGGGCCTCGAACTACAGGGTAGAGAGCGGACGATGTGCTGATGCCGCAGAGCAGATGCCATCACCTGTAGGGGCTGGAGAAGGGGTGCATAGGGATGGAGAGGGGTGGAGAGGAATGGAGAGGGGAAAGTAGGAGGGTGTTGGGAAAAGGCTCATAACGGCTTTGGCACACACGGGTTGGAGCCTCGCGCTTCAGGGTAGAGAGCAGGAGACGTGTTGACGCCGCAGATGCCGTCTCCTGTATGTGGGTGGAGTGGGGTGGAGAGGGGGTGGAGAGGGGTGGAGAAGGGTGGAGAGGAACGGAGAGAGGGGGAAGTGTTGAGAGAGTATGGGTTTGGCACATACGAGAGGGGGAAGCGCACAATCAGGAAATGCAAGTACATACAGGGTAGAGAGCGATTGACCTGCTGTGCTATTTAAAACTTTTGAGGCGCCTCAAAAACCGGGGCGGGGTACACATTCAGAAAAAGCTTTCGAGTCGACTCAAAAGCAGAACCGGGGTACACATCCAGAAAATGCGCGGGATGGGGAACAGAAATGTTGGGGGTTGGGGTGAAATCTGGCCGCAATTTGGGCATCAAAGGTTATGCCCTCATGCCCACCCAGGTGAATGTGCACCCCGGTGAATGTGCACCCCGGTGAATGTGCACCCCGGTGAATGTGCACCCCAGTTTCAAAGTTCTCAGCACGCCACCCGGACGTGTTGGGTTTAGGGTTTCGGGTTACAAGGTAGGAAACATTTGATTAAGTAGAGCACCTGAGGACTCACCTGATGCAATGGCCATTTGCATGAAGCCGCCCACCCCCCAGGAGGTTCCCCAGGTGTTTCCCAAGATAGAGTAGGGTGTGACAACCTGTGCACCTGAAAACTCACCTGACTCGATGGCCATGTGCATGAATCCGTCTTCCCTCCAGGTGGCTCCCCAGGTGGTTTTCAAAATGAGGCAGGACGTGGCAACCCATGATCCTAACTCACCTGACTCGATGGCCATCTGCATGAAGCCGCCCGACCCCCAGGTGTCTCCCCAGGTGTTTTGCAGCAGGAAGTAGGGCGTGGCGCCTGACATGCTGTAGCCCACGAGCAGCACTATGTGATTCACCACCCCATTTATAAAACAGTCGGGGTCCGCATAGATGTAGCCCTGGCGAACCCAAGGGAAAAGGAGGAAGAGAGGTGCACAATCAGTCTCGTGTGTCTCCTGCCATGCCATGCTGTAGCCCAGCCCACGAGCAGCACTGTGTGATTCACCACCCCGTTGATGAAACAATCCGGATCAGCGTAGATGTAGCCCTGGAGAGTGGGGGGGAAGCAAGCTTGGGAAGGGAAGGGGAAGATTGAGGGAGGGAAGGGAAGGGGGAAGAGGGGCAGCAGGAAGTAAGGCGTGGCACCTGCCATGCCTGTAGCCCACGAGCAGCACTGTGTGATTCACCACCTTGTTGATGAAACAGTCTGGATCAGCGTAGGTGTAGCCCTGGAGTGTGGGGAAGAAGAGAAAGGGGAGAAGGGGCGCATTCAATATGATGGCACACACACACACACACACACACACACACACGCACGCACGCATGCATGCATGCACACACACACACACGCACACACACACGCATGCACATGCACGCACACACACACACACACACACACGCACGCACGCACGCACACACACACACACACACGCACGCACGCACACACACACACACACACGCACACGCACACGCACACGCACACACACACACACACACACACACCACACACACACACACACACACACACACACGTGGACACACACCCTCTCCTCCCGTCCAGCTCACCCCGGCGAATTCAATGAAGGACGTTTGGTCCGCCTCTATGTTCGCGATGATTGGCTGCAATGCAGCGCGGTGATTGGCTGCGCCATGTAAAGAGACAACACACACAACACACGCACACACACCCTCCTCCGACTCACCCCAGCGTATTCAATGAAGGAAGCTTGGTCCGCCTCTATGTTCACAATGATTGGCTGCGCCTGCAGCAATGATTGGCTGCATTGCGCCTTGTGTCCAGGCAACCCTACCTTGAACCTCCTTCCTTGACAGCTCAACTCAACTCACCCCAGCGTATTCAATGAAGGAAGCTTGGTCCGCCTCCACGTTCGCAATGATTGGCTGCGCCTGCAGCGCAATCACCATGCCCAGCCAACCAGACACCGCCACCTGTTCGAACATGGCGATATTGTACGGCCCCGGGACTGGCTGGGCAGCGGGGGCTGGGGGGGCCCTTTTCTTTGCCTTCTTCTTGAGAAGGCCGATGGAGGAGGAGCGAGAGGAGGAAACGAAGGAATGAGAATAATAAGAGGAGGAAGGGGAGGAGGAGGAGACAGGAAGTGGGGAAGAGGATGAGGAGGAGGAGGAAATTGGTGCTGATAGGAGGATGCGGTCGCGATGAATGTGGAAGAAGGAGGCGAGGAGGGAGGGGAAGGAGAGGAGGGATGAAAAGAGGGCAGATGGAGGAGGAGGGGGAAGTGGAGACGGAGGGAGGAGCAGTGGCGGTTCAGATTCAGCTGAGGAAACTTTTCTGCCTAGCATTGCTGGGAGTCGATTGGGAGCAACGGACGCGGGTGAAGGCGGAGGAGGAGGAGGAGGCGGAGGCGGAGGCGGAGGATGACGGGTGGAAGGAAGAGCAGGGGGAGAGGGAGGAGCAGGAGCTAAGTTGGAATTTTGTTGCAGATGCTGGTGCAGTTGGTGCTGTTGTTGTTGTTGTGTAGCGAGGAGTCGTGTATCGAGGCATGGAGGTGGTCGTCTAGTGCTCGATCGAACCAGAGGTCAGGCGGGAAGGATTCTGCCAGTCTCCTCGCACCGGGCTGGGAGAAGGGAGAAGTGAGAGGAGAGGAGTGAGGGAAGAGGAGGAGGGAGAGGAGAGGAGTGAGGGAAGAGGAGATGGATGCATCCTTGGTGCCCGTGTACGGCACAATGAATTCCGGCAACACTCCCCCAGAAGTGGCGAACTGAAAGGCGTCGGAGGGGAGGCCCCCCACGCACTCCCAGGTGCCCTGGCAGTTGAGAATGTGCTGTCATGCTCAATGGCCCAACCCAACCCTGAGACCCCTGGCTTGCCCCACTCACCCCCCAGCTGGATGCATCTTTCGTGCCCGTGTACGGCACTATGAATTCAGGAAGAACTCCCCACAGGCAGCAGGCTACTCAACATCTACCCTCACACCCGACTCAACCCCTCTCCACTCCACTCGACTCCACTCCACCCCACTCACCCCACAGCTGGATGCATCTTTCGAGCCCGTGTACGGCACAATGAATTCCGGCAGCACTCCCCCTGAGGCAGCGAACTGGAAGGCGTCAGAGGGAAGGCCGCCCAGACACTCCCAGGTGCCCTGGCAGTTGAGAATGTGCTGCCCTGATATGTTGGGCTGGTTCGACCCGAACGCGATGGCATAGGCTGCTTCGATCGCTGCTACTGGGACCAGCGCCCAACACGCAGCTGTTGGTGGGGAGAGGGGGAGGGGGAAGCGGGGACAGGGGGAGGGGGAGGGGGAGGGGGAGGGGGAGGGGGAGGGGGAGGGGGAGGGGGAGGGGGAGGGATGGGAGGGATGGGAGCGGGGAGAGGGGAAGGGACACCTCCCCACGCACTCCCAGGTGCCCTGGCAGTTGAGAATGTGCTGCCCCGTGAATGTCCACGACGGTTTAGCGGCCGTGCCATCCCTCCCCCAAGGGTTGTACTCCAGGCTCTCCCCCTCCCCCTCCCACCACCCCTTCTTGTATGTTGAGTCGTCTCAAAACACTTCTTCATTTACGTACCCCGGAGTCTGCCAGCGCCAGTCCACCGCAGTCTTGCACGTCCACGAGGGATTAGTGGCTGAGCCATTGTACCCCAAGCTCTCTCGCTCCCTCTTGAGAATTCCCAAAAGTAACATCTACCCCAAGCTCTCTCGCTCCCTCTTGAGAATTCCCCAAAGTAACAACTACCCCAAGCTCTCTCACTCCCTCTCCCTCTCTCTCATCTCCCCAGTCACTCACCACAAGTGCCCTGGTCCACAGTAGGTCCCAGGACGGTCCTGTTCTGCTTGCTGACGGTCTGGCAGCGCCAATCCACTGCAGTCTTGTACTTCCATGAGGGCTGCGACCATCTAGGCTAGGCTGCTTCAAGCACACTCACTGCACGTGCCCTGGTCCACAGTTGGTCCCACGACAGTCCTCTCTGCTTGCTGACAGTCTGCCAGCGCCAGCCAGTCCACTGCAGTCTTGTACGTCCATGAGGGCTTCGAGGCCATCCCGTTGTACCCCAGCCTCCCCAACTCCCCCTCCCCAACTCCCCCCCCCAACTCCCCCTCCCCAACTCCCCCTCCCCAACTCCCCCTCCCCAACTCCCCCTCCCCAACTCCCCCTCCCCAACTCCCCCTCCCCAACTCCCCCTCCCCAACTCCCCCTCCCCAACTCCCCCTCCCCAACTCCCCCTCCCCAACTCCCCCTCCCCAACTCCCCCTCCCCAACTCCCCCTCCCCAACTCCCCCTCCCCAACTCCCCCTCCCCAACACCCTCTCCCCACTCCCCACCAACACTCACCGCACGTGCCCTGGTCAACGGTTGGCCCCACGACGGTTCTGTTCTGCTTGCTGACGGTCTGAGTGCGCCAGTCCACTGCAGTCTTGTACTTCCATGAGGGCTTGGTAGCCGTGCCGCTGTACCCCAGGCTCACGTATCGAAAGTACTTGTTGAAGTTGACGAGAGGCTGAGGGGAGGAAGGGGAAGTTGGAAGAGTAAGGGGAGAGGGGGGAGGGGAGGACTTGAGTCTGCCAGCGCCAGTCCACTGCAGTCTTGTACGTCCATGAGGGTTTCGTGGCCGTCCCGCTGTACCCCAGGCTCACGTAGCGAAGGTACTTGTTGAGATTGACCATCAATCATTGACGAGAGGCTGGCGGGCAGGTGGGGCGTGGGTGGGACAGCGGGGAAGTGGAGGGAGTAAACTCCTGAGGCTTTGAGGAGCGGCACGGCAGCGGGGTTTACTCCATGGCAGCGGGGTTCACTCCCTCCAGTTTACTGCCTCAGCGGGGAAGTGGAGGGAGTAAACTCCATGGCAGCGGCACGGCAGCGGGGAAGTGGAGCGGGGAAGTGGAGAAGGGGAAAGAGGAAGCTCCTGAGGCTTCGAGGCGTCTCAAAACTTCACTTTTATCGCGAGGAAGTTCCTGAGGCATGCATCGTTGTGCCCCAGCCAGGCTCACGCAGCGAAAGTACTTGTTGAATTTTGAGAGAGAGAGAGAGAGAGAGAGAGAGTGGGGGGGGGGAGGCGTGCAGGAAAGAGGGGGAAAGTAAGTAAGTTAAACGGGGTAAGGGATATATGGGTGCTTGTGCTGTTGCACCCTAGGGAGAGATAGTGGGATAGCTGATGATCTGATATCATATGAATTGGTATTATATGAACTGATATTTTATACTATGGTATTATCTGATGTGATATTATATGATATAAAGCCTTACACATCTCTCCCTACCTTGGTTGGGACAGCTTGGTAGTCCGTATCCTTGAGGCCAGGCTTGCGCTTATCAGGGTCTGTTTACAAAGGGGACGAGGGAAGGAAGGAGCGAGGAAGGGAAGGTGGTGAAGGCATGAGTGCGTCCTGCGTGCATGAGTGTGTGAGAGTGTGCGTGCATGAGTGTGTGAGAGTGTGCATGCATGAGTGTGTGAGAGTGTGCATGCATGAGTGTGTGAGAGTGTGCATGCATGAGTGTGTGAGAGTGTGCATGCATGAGTGTGTGAGAGTGTGCGTGCATGAGTGTGTGAGAGTGTGCATGCATGGAAGGAACACCCATACGTGAAGGATTTGCACACGAGCTTAACTACAAGAGCAGGACTAGGGAGTGCTATAACGAGTACAAAAAACAACATGCGAGCTGGTGTACTCGAGGGGGCACTCCCTAGGACTAGGGCAGAGGGGCCGCTGGTGGTGGGTTAGCCACAACACTCGAGCTGCAAGAGGGGTACGGGGTCCCATTCTGGGTCACAATATACGCGTTGTAGTCGATTTATTGTTAATCGACTCAGAATTGTTTTTGAGAATTCTCAAAAGCGATTTATTATTAATCGACTCGGAATTACCTTCTGGTGGGGGCGGAGGCGGCGGCGGGGGCGGATTAGCCACAACAGCCGTGCTGCAAGAGGGGTAAGCGATCCCACTCTGTGTTGCAATATATGGGTTATAGTCTGTATCACATTCACACGTCGGGATGCGCGAAGGTCCGGACAAATAACACCGCCCGTGCCCGCCGCACGGGCCCGTCGCAGTGCTCGCGCCACAAAATGCCAAACACTCGTTCGGCTTGCGCTGCTTGTCTGCAGTGCACGTCCCGCTCCCGGAAGTTACCATGCAGTTTCCTCTCACAGACCCATACAAAGACGGGCTGTACGGCAGAAGAGCCGACTGGGCAAATCCTCCGCGGAGCTGATTCGGGCAGAATAAAATATTTCCGCTGTCCGCCGTTATCTGGGCTTTGGCTGAGCCATTGAAATAGTTTCTCTCGATGTTGTATGTGGCCTCGGAGGTGGCATTAAAGGAGGTGCTGGCGAATCCCGTGGGTGCGGGTCCTGAGAACTCGTTATTGGATATGTCACTGTGTGACGGGATAGGAGTGGGGAAAGGGGGAGCGGAGGGATGAGAGGGCCCTGAGAGCTCGTTATTGGATATGTCACTATATGGCGTAATGTGATGCAAGCAGGCAGGGCAACAAGGAATGAAAGGGGAACGGGATGAGAGTACGGGAGGGGAGGGGGAAGTGGAGGGAGGAGAGGGGGCGTGAGAACTTGTTATTGGATATGTCACTGTGTGATGTGATGTGATGTGATGTGATGTGATGTGATGTGATGTGATGTGATGTGATGTGATGTGATGTGATGCAAGGAGGACAGGGGAACAAACGAGCGAGGAAGGGGGAGGGGAGGGGAGAAGGGGGGAGTGGGGGAGGGGGAGGGGGATGGAAAGAGAGGGAAAGAGAAGGGGATAAAGAAAGATGCTGCAGGTCACATGGCAGCGGTACAAAAGAAATTACTTATAACGGGAGCAACAAGGTAACTCAGAAGGCGCGTCTCTACCCGCATGAGGTTTGGGGGAGCATTAAAATGATTTCTACCCGCATGAGGTTTGGGGGAGCATTAAAATGATTTCTACCCGCATGAGGTTTGGGGGAGCATTAAAATGATTTCTACCCGCATGAGGTTTGGGGGAGCAACAAGGAGCAACAAGGAGCAACAACCTTTCGAAATTTCTCAAAAGTGATTTCAGCATTGCTAGCATAGCATGCTGCCGGACAGCCACTGAT